CATGGTGGAATAAGTGGGTTGGAGCCAACCTTTTCTTTTAAAGGCGGTGGCAGGCAGGATCCTGCTCGTTAACAGCAAGTGTTCAAGACTGCTATCTTTGGATAATAAACAGTGAATGTTACTCCATGTTACTTCCAATGCAATGTTGGATAGCGGTTTCGCCTGCTAGTTGCCCATGGTTCATAAATGTACTTGCCCAACTAGAGGGTGGCAGTGGACCAGTAGATGTGTGTGAGAAACAGTTCATCGTGCAAGCCCGGTCGCTAACACTACGGTAAAAATAGCACTGGGGCATGTGGTCGGTTGACTCTTACTGTATGACACCACACGTGTGGCGATACAACACCTCAAGGGTACGCCGTCTTCTGGGTGGGTGGGTGTTATCCATGGTAGTCTATTTCACGCCTCTTGCACCGCACAAAGGCTGTTGACTTGCAGCCAACTTGTTGAAAACAGGGTTCAACAGGACAGCTGCGTTTGTTTAGAGTTTGGGGTGTCCTCCACCATCGTCTGGGTGTTACCCAAACATTTGCACATGCGATTTCCATGGAAGGCAACATACCTGTGGGTCATTGGTTGATCAACCGAACCGCGCCAGTGCCACTTGGGCCCACTGTTACCTGAAAGGCGGTGTAGGCTGTCCTGAAAGGCATTGTTCCTTCCGCGCTTGGGTTTCTTCTTCTTGTCCGGCTTCTCCATGTTTTGGAACATGACCTCACAATGCACGGAGCCGCTTAGTGCGGTGACCGAAGGATTTTGATCCACATCGATCAGTCCAAGCAACAAAGGCATGCAAACGGTCCCCGGCCGTTATGAATACGTTCCCAGCTGCCACAGACTGCATCAGCAATGAACAAACCATGTCAAAGCAACTGCTAACCTAATTATGTGATGTTTGGATAGATGTTCTGGATCTCGCACACGTTGCCACGCTCTGCGAATGTCTTCCGCCCCTCTCACCTCTCTGTGACTGTGAAAGCAAACGCGCAAGCACGGCGTGCATCTGAATCGCTTGATCAACTGCAGATCGTTCTTTTTGATCTTCATCCAGGTCGCTTGCTGAGCAGCTTCAGTGGACTTCAAGCCCAGCTTCTCCCGCAAAAGCATGTTCTCCTTGAGACGGGTTATCTTCGGCCCCAGAAAATGAGCTGCAGGGGCGACCAGCGGCACATGGAGACCAAAAAAACATGCACTTCCAGAATTGCTAGCACAGGGCCCGGGCAAGTGGGAACATGACAAAGTGGAATAAGAACTATAGACTGAATACACCAAAATGGTTCAAGATGTTTAGGTTTAGGTGCCATTGATCATTATCCTATATTACTTTATTATACTATATACACTCAATACGGCGAGTACACCTTGTGACATCTCAATCTGGATTCACAGCTGCGAGCATCCACTCTTCCACAGAACGGGTCTCTTCATGTCTCTTCATACCATTGCTCACAATACAGGGCCTGCATGGCCTGTGCCACAGCAGTCAGCAAAATCATAGATCATACGCAGTTAGAGAACGGTGCCAGCCTTGCACTGAATGGACGGGGAAAGGTTTCACTCTATCTAAGGCCCTGCCAAGTGACTCAACGACCCCCACTGCACATCCGCACCTTCCCAGCACTCCCTGCTGCAAAGCCTCTGCCATGAGATTTGCTACTTCAAACTCTTGGGACTGTTGTACTTCATCCAAAGCATCCAAGTGTTGCATCAGCACCTCCCAAGGACCGTCTCAGAGGGCGGACCTCTGAAAAAAAAAAGGCCGTCCTCAACCCATGTCATCCAAAGCCGGTCAAATAAACAGGATCCAAACCTCTCTAAGATCTCCAAATCCAAAACACCAAACACCAATCTCCAAACCGTCTCCAAAACACCTTGGGTCTTTCCACTCGCCGCAACGCGTGGCGTCCGGACGCCGTCCGGTCTCCACCGGCCTCCTCCGTCTGCGCTCGGAAGTCGGCCATGACCTGGCGAAGCTCGACCGACCGACCGATCACGGGTCCTCCGGAGCCTCCGGTGCTCGAAGAAGGGGAGGACTTGCCCTCCATGGGTCGATGTCTCCATGGGTCTTGCGACACATGTTATATATCTGTTACAACTAGTAACAAGGGTGGCATCGCTGCGAACGGAGCGATCGGACGCTACGAACGTAGCTCCTGGACTTACTAGTAACACGAAGCTACTAGTATGATCATCTATGCTCATAAAGGGCCTCTCACAAGTTGAAATGACCCGATCCAAAGGACCAATGGAATCAACACTTCTATGGCTCACTAAGTAGGGCAATGCTTCAAAAATGTTCTGCACTGTTTATATATATATATATATATTGTGAGACTCTGGACATCCTTCGGTGCCAGCGATTTAACGCCCAGGTGGTGTTCTTCCGTGTCTTCAGGAACGAAAAGCACTGGCGGCTGGCCGAATTAGAAGAACCAAAGCACACAGAAAGAAACGCTCTAGAGGAGTCAGCTTGGTGTTAAATAACCTATCCCCAAACAATAATGAGATGATAAAGCATTGAATCAAATTGATACCCATTGATACACCAAATGCCGAGGAGTGTGGGTACAAGATGGGTACAAGATGCGCAAGATGGCACAAGTGGAAGACTCTCAGCTGGATGACCGTTCAACTCCCCAGCTCTCCACCTTCGCCATGCACAACTCCAATTGCTCAATGGAATCCTTGGACGCTCCAACGGGGACCGGTCCAACCGGCGGACTGTGCGGGATGGATGCAGGGCAGCTCGCCCCCAAAATAAACAGAAACACGTTTAAGAAAGGACCCAAGCTTAGGACCCCTGATTTTGACAGAAGCAGGTCAGCAACTTGGGGAAACACCACTGGACAAATGTAGCCTTTCGGAATACTGGGATAAATAAATGAAACATCGCGACACCCCGAATCACCAAATCTCTATAGGCCCTAGTCTCCTTTCGGCTGATGAGTCTCAAACCTCTGGCGATGAGGGTCCGGCAACTACAGCAATACGGCCATTTGCCTGGCAACAGCCACTCCGCCACAAACACTCCTCCCTTCCACGGACCAACAGCCACCACTTCTTCTCCGGGCATCTTGGATCGTTTGACGGTCCGGGCTCATAGAACCTCGAACTGAGCAAAAACCGGAATCCGATTCAACCAATTTCATGGCGGCTCAAAACACGTGGACCCACGAGCCATCAAAGCAAATGCGCATCAAAGCAAATCCACCTGCTTTCGATTTTACATATTGCCTACCTAGTGTGGTAAGGTCAAAAATTAAGTGTTTTGAACCCGGCTTTGGTTCAATAGGGGCACGAGTGACTCGTAAACAGGGACTAGTCCGACACCATTGAGCTCTTTATTCACTTGCGGTTTTTGACATAACCTGTGATGTAATGCTTTCTGGGAGAGAGGTTGAGAGGGTTTACGCGCTTCCGACATTCTCACGGCTGTGCGCCCCATGCTGAAGCAGTCTGGCTTGAATTATGTTCAATATTGTTCAATTAATTTGTCCAATTCCTTTGATTTTGTGTTATTTATTGTTAATCGTTAATCATCACCACCACCACCGTCACCAGCATCACCACCATTATCACCCCTCTCTGTCTGGAGATCCCTCGAGCAAATTATTCACGGCCAAGGAGCGCGGATTCTTGTCTTGCTTCTCCGTCTTCAAAGCCACAAGGGCCGCCTTGGTGTCATGCCCATCCACCTCATTGATGAGCGTCTGCAAATCGATCCCTTCCTCCTGGCGTCCGGCGGACCACACCGTCTGGCCGAACGCAAGGGACCGCACTCAAAGAACCCAAACCAACAAATGTTCGATGCAATCTTCACTGCTGCGCGTTCCTCACAAAGCACATGGATGATAGTTGTATACTCACAGATACTCACAGTATACACTTGGGTTTGTCGGGTCCAACTATCTTCAGAGTGGGGTGCATAAGGCGCATAAGGTGCGTGGGCAAACTCCACTTGCTCATGGCTCCTCTTCCGGCTTGAAGGGTGCTTCAAGCTTCACTTTCCTCACTCGACAGAAAAGCAGGAGTGCCACGTCATTCTTCCAGAACACCAGCAGCCCTGTATAATTTATCCTAATTTCAGCCGCAAAAGCAACACATCCGACCACCCAGAGTGCAACATAGCCACCGGGCCACCATACATCGCTCTTCAAACCTCTGCCACTCTCTGTTTCTCCGAAAAGCCATGATCTTCGATCCCAGGTGTCTCAGCTTCGATACGATGAAAAGAACACTTAAGTACAGTAACTGTAGGTGCACCCCACACACACACCCCAATCATAGAAAACCTTTGAAAACTCATTTCACGAGCACACTCACGAGCACTCTTTTGCCTAACGCAACTACAGGTACCTCCGTTCAACATCTCTCGGCCACCAAGCTTCTTGGGAGGTTCCTTTTTCGGTGCATCTTTTGGCTTCAAGGCCGTCTTCAATGGCTCCGCCATGGCGTCCAGCGCTTCGCGCAGACGTGAGGTAAACGGCGGGAAAGTCTCGAACCGCGGGCTTCAATCTGAGATCACCCTTGTAGTCTTATAGTATTAATATAGTCTAGTATATAATATAGTATTGATGAAATATTTGTATTGACTCTAGTCTTGTAGCACAAGATTCTGAAACGCCCAAGGAAGGTCCGGCGGGTCTGACCTTGAAGCCACTTCGAGCCATGAAGAAGGGCGCAATGGATGCTAGGATAATATGTCTCAGCTGTGCGAAACATCAACCCAAATATCTGACCGTTTTCTTTTGATAGGCTTCTGCCCATGGAGAAGACGTGAGAAGACTTTGGAAAGGTAGGGCCGTCCGAACAATTCTTTGCATTGTGATCTTTAATGCATATGCCGTATGCCCTTGCTCCTAGTAGCTTTATTGTTACTAGTAGTAAGGCCAGGAGCCCCTAGTAGCGTCCTTGCTCCTAGTAGCGATGCCCTTTGCTCCTAGTAGCGTTCTTCAAGGGTTCTCGCAGCTTCAAACCGACATCCACTCGGCCCACTGGGCCTGCCGTTGTAGTACTCCCGATTCCCTCTGGGGCAGACATCAGAACGAAGCCCTGAACCTGTGCATCTCTCGGAGGTTGACTCTTTGGGATCGGACCGGAGACCAAGCTTTGGGATCCGGTGGCTGGGAGTCAGCACATGACATGTGAGAAAGTTGCCAAAACAGAACTGCTTAAACACCGAGTTGCAATCCCAGAAGGTGCCGCCCTTGACGGAGCAGCCACGAAGCTTCAGCTTGAAGGGCAGGGTGTAGCCATCCACTAGGCTCCTGCACTCACTCCCGCAAATCACAAACACAGCCCTCCCAGGAGGGTTCGAGGTTCACCATGTAAACCTCCGACAGGAAACAAATCGAATCAAATCGAATAGACTGCCCAGCAATCTTGACACGTTCAATGTTTGGGGGTTTAGTCTTGACCAGCAGCGTTGTCACAGCCAAATCTAGGATTGAAAGCCGAGGTGCATGTCGAAATAATCACGGCGTCCACCGAAACTGGCTTCGAACTTCGTATCAATATGCCTTGCAGGTGCTCATGGTTCTCTGCCATGAAGGCACGGAAGAGTTATGATTCCACATGCATATGGCCATATGGCAGGGGGCTGATAGCGTTTTCCGGTCCACAGCTAGGTGCCTATGCACAGTCCAAAGCCGTGTCTTCCTGTGCTGCCAAAGTTCGCCTGGCATCGCCAGTTGCCGTCCGTGCCGCAGGGCTGCCCCTTGCCTCCGCTCTGGCCGATGCGGCAGCCATTGCCATCGGAGTTGCACCTTGCCGGCGCCGAGGAAATGTCCCCCGTAGCACTCCCAATGATCCCAGTCACATCCAACTGACTTTGTCCGTGAAGATGTTTGGGTGAACTACTCACTTGCACCCACTTATTTGAGAACAAATGTGACCAACATACACAAAACTCTGCATCCACTTTGAAACTGTTCGTTTGGTGTTGAGATAGCTTCACGAGACGTTTTAAGTGATCCACATATTAAGCATTAACAAGTCCAAAGAGTTCAACAAATGTCAATCAGCCTCGATCCTGGTACTCTGTACATGAAGGTGAAACCAGCCAGGTGAACCAAGCAACCTGCCAAAAACCATTGCGGACCCACAAAGGATGGTGCATGTAACAGCAATGGAACAACAACCAGAAGCACCGGGCCAGCCCAAAGACACAATCAGCCTCTCCAAACTGCGATCACGAATCAAATGTCAATGAATGCAAAAGTTGGCGAGGCGCAAAGAGGGAAGTTGGATACCAACTGTATCGTCAAACCCAGACCGCGCGTACTCATACCTATAAAGGGTCCTAAAGGATCCTGAAAGGACAAATAGCTTTTAAAAATATATATATATATATCACACCAACTCGCGATCGATCCGTTCGCCTCTTAAAGCCCTTCCACATCGTGGGGTGCATAAGGGTTTCTATGTACGAAGATTGTATCCACAAAACATGCACGACCACCATGAAACCACCACCGGTCTCATACACAGTGGGATCACAAAAGGTGAATTACGACGAACATGAGCACGGCAGCGCATCTAATTTGTAATGAGCAAATGATCAAAGGATGTGTTTTGACGAATGCATTTGTTGATTTTCTGATAGATCTTGTGTGCCTTTTCGAATGGAATGTCCTCGTACGGCGCAACACGGGACGAAAATGTTGCAGGTAGCAATGGTGGCACAACACGCACATTCAACGGATAGGACTGTTTTGGCAAGGAGGCATATGCGGTTATGTTGGCAATGAGGTGTTCAGCAAATTCAATAGCTAACATATATACCAAAATAGTTACTCTTTCAGATCGAAAGGTCAACCATTTCGGGTCTGCAATAGGCCCTGCCTCAACTTCGGCCAAAGGCGAAAGCCCATGAGCCCAGCGTAGGCCGGGAAGTCGTGGGAAGCACCAGCCTGGCGGGGTGGCTGTTTCTCGGGTCAATTGGCTGGATCTGGGGTTTTGGCGTTGTGCGTAAACAGCAAGTGTAGAGTCAGGTTACGAGTGCACCTTAGTTGCGTGTGCGAATTTTTGTACAGTTGCTGGAAATGAGATCAACCCAAGGCATGCTGAGAGTAGGACTCTTCTCATCTAGCATCATCTAGGCTGAACATCTTGGATGGCCCACTCTTCGCAAAACGGGGAGTCCTGCAAACAGCTCTTACCTAATGATTCTATTGGAGTTGGCTAAGGATTGGGGAATGATCTAGTCTCCTGAGTTCTGGCGCACCTCGATCTTCACGTTCTGACCTCGGGCGTGGGCGGTGCCGGGGATTTTTATCCAATGGAAGAAGGGGAACTGCGGGTGCTCCAAAAGAGACAACATTTGTGGGCGAATAGGTCAGAAGTGAGGCACTGATGGGCCATTGAAGTGGCAGCAATTTATTCTTCCGAGCCAATCATGGAAGTTGATGGGCGGTGCCCCTTGTTGGGGTTGTTGGATATGAATGCAGTATGACAATTTGGACTGTAAACGCGGGCAACCAGCAACTCCACATAGAGCCAATGTGACAAGGAACATTACCACATGCTGGTGCTCATTCCATTCCTGGAAGTTTGCTAAATTGAAGAGCTGAATATGTAAGTGCAAGCATTGTGCCTCTCTGGCTCTGCAATCGGCCTTCTCCCTTGATCAATTTGGGCCGTCAAGTAGGGACGAATTCCGGGAGGTCGTCAGGGGCCGACCCGGTGGCACCCCAGTGGGACAAAGTTGTATTGAATATATACCATGCGGATACATGGCAGAATGCACATGTAGGTGCACCATCTGGGTGAAAAACCAACCAAAGAATCTGAATCGAGAGCACCCCAAACACTGAAACACCCTGGAACGCTGAGAAAACAACACTTCCAGGCCCATCAACATGACTCACACAACCTACAGGGTAGCAAGTCAAACAGTAGAGCCTCAAGTAGTCCACATTCAAATTGAAATCATTTGAGCCAACCATAGCTCAATGTGTCTGCCACCAAAACGCTTTAGGCAAGACTTGTAATAGAGGCATTCCCATCCTCCCCACCAAACTAGTTCCAGTGACGGTACTTGTAGTTGCAACAATGTGCAATCCACATGGGCTCGTTGCAGCCATTGATGACACGCAAAGTGGAGCCTCTTGACATTGACTTCACCAGCAGCCCTGTGCTGTTCCTGGGCTGCACAGCTGGGGATGAAATCCCAGCCTCGCTCATCAATCCGCGTCAAGGAACCTTCCTGTCCTTTTTTGGGGACCCAAAAAGGCCCTTTTACAAATTCTGGTTCGGACCAATGGTAGCAGCGCATGGAGTGGGTCGGACCCTCCCATTCGACAAAACTGTTCAAATTAATATACCGTAGTGCTCGCTCACATGATAGTGGACAATTCTTCCCCATCTACACTGTGCTACCTGGCGTCCTTTCGACCATGTGTGCAAAAGCTACCGCTAAAGCAACTCTAGGCAAATAGGCACAGGTATAGCCGGTATAACTTCTGGGCAACGTATATACATAACTCAATTCCGACCCGCTTTTACATCTAGATCTAGCTAGACTCGGCCCTGGAGCTGTTTAACATGTTGAACTTGCCAAGGCTCCCACTTGTCTGATTAATGCCAATAGTTTCATTGCTTGATCTGCTTGTCTGATTGCTGCTTTCTTTGCTTTCATTGCTAGCAGTGCTTGCCACAGCCACACTCAATAAGGTGAAGAGCGCCACGAGGTGTTTCCAGGAGAATGCCATGGCTGTGATAAGCTTACACTTTCGGGAGCCTGCAGTGAGCCAAGCAAAAACTGTGGATCAGGCAAATTGGGCTGGCTGACTGCCTCCGACGATACTAGCACACCAAATCCAAGCGCCACCCAACAGGGTGTTTGACGTGATTGACCAGTAGAAGCAATTGCGAATAAGAGCAGCAGGGATGTCAGTCAATCTGCCATATTGCTTTTCAGAGCTTAGTCAGTCTCACGAACGCCCCTATGAAAGACTCAAGACATTAAAAATACACCCGTGAAGGTTCAGGCGTTGACCACGCACGCACACACACACCACACACAAAGCCAAGTTATGCCAAATTCAATTGAGGTCTGACAACAATGGGTCATGCAAGTACAGTCTGATCTCTTGACCTTTCCCTCTTCCACCACACCAGTGGAACCAGGCCAACTCATGGGGGGTCTGAATTGGCTGGTTAAACTTATTTTCACAGTGTTGTGCCAAGATGGTGCTGCCACATGGGCAGTCTGCTGTCTCTGGATCTCCTTCGGTGAAGGTGCCCTCACCCTGCCAAGCATGAAGCCTAGCTGACGACTCTGTACATCTAATTGCATGCAAGGAGATGTCGAATTAGGCAACATCTCCTTCATCCCAGACCGAATTAAGCGCCCTGGATCTCAAAAGAACAAATTCAAGCTATTGTCCAGGATGTTCCAGGATGCACTTGCAACGAAATAGCACAACGACTAGCTGAGCCCGTCTGAACTGGTCCTCCAAATTCGGAAGAGCAATTGGTGGCCAAAAGAACGAAAGCCTCGAGTCACGAGTCCCCTCAACATGGAAAGCTTGGAAAACCCTTATTGGCAAATACTTGCTAGAAACTTCTTGTCTATCCGAATCGGTCCTTGAGCCTGGCACACGGATTCGGAAGTTGTGTCGGCCCTCAGCCCGGTCCTATCGTCGGCCCTCAGCTGGGCGGCGCCACTCCCAATTGAGCCATCTTAGCCCAAAGGCGCATCTCTCCTGGGGGCCAGCGGATCTTTTCTCAAGGCAACGCCGTTGGTCTAGAGACATCAAGAGCCCAGCTTGAAGGAACCAACACTCCACAGCATTGAACAAACATCAAATCAGACTCACCTGGTTTGCTCCGACTCACTGGTCCTTGGAAGGCATTCATGGCACTCGCTGCCATGTCTTCCTTGACGGATTGGCGGACTTCTTCGATCCGTGACTGCAGCACAGGAATCCTTGGGGGTGCGAACGCCGTGGGTGTCAACCCACCCAGCGCCGTGGAAGCTCAGGGTGTAGATCATGCAAAACGCCAAGCCGCCAAGCCACTGCAAGCTGCTTATAAAACTGAAGCAAACCAGGATCCGGAATTTTGGCACAAACATCGTATGCCAAAAAGCTAAGGCTCTCTTTGCAAGTTGCTTCCAATCTCTGAAGCTGCTCTGCCACTCTCTTCACATAGGACTCTCGACCAGCTTCCCGCTCCTACAACACGTGCAACATCCCCCTCTCGGAGCAGCATGGAACAGCCAGTGGCTGCCTCCGTCACATCACTTTGTCTGGCAAATTGATCAAATCTTGGGCATTTTTGTGGCCCTCAGGATTTACAATATCAGGCTGTGCGCTCCGCAGCGCTCCGCTCTCCTGGAAGGTGCTGCGCCACGACTCTTGGGCGCCCAAACGTTGGTAACCTCAGTCGAGCAACACCGCCGAGCCGGAGCCGGTGCAGGCTGGGCAGCGACGGAAGCATGTGAGAGGCGGAGAGGTGCATATCAAGACTTTCGAGGAGCGAATTTGAAGATTTTAAAGCCACGGCTTGGGTCACCTCACAAGTTTGGCAGGGCCTGGTGGGGTAACCCACCTCAGGATCCACGGATTTGAACGATTTCCACATGTTTCCACCCTTCTCAACGGCCCTTGTTCACTCTAGCCGATTTGATAGGACCAACTCTTGGGTGGCACGTCCTTGAAACCCAAGCCCTCTATATGATGCATATACAAGTACATTTCATAGGTGAACTTACAGTACTCATATATTTATATATTATATTATATTTATGTATCATATAAATATTGTGTATATACACACGTCACACAAGCTAGGACCGGTGAAGAGCTATTTTGGATTATTTCGGTCGAGTTTGGGAGAGGGCACTTGCCCGCGAGTCCTCGCGCAGCTTTCTCGACAGGCAGCAGCTCTCCAAATGCCCGGACAAGCGATTCTCTGCGGACAGCGACGCCTCGGCGATTGGAGATCCGGGAGATCCAAGGAAGAAGATCCCAAACTCTGAATAGGACTTCCAGCCATGGCAAAAGATCCCAAAAATTGTACTTGCCATGGCAAGGCTAAACTCAAACTGAGATCCCAACATTTTGGAAATTGAAAGAAGTTCTCAAGAACAAACAGAATGACTTCCATTGAAATGGTCGAAGGAGATACAGTGGACATGTCCTACTTGTGGCATTCCTGGGTGCTCTTGCAGGTAGCTGCTGTCCGTACATCTTCAAAAGTATCTTCAACCTAACAGAGCCCGATTCTCAAACAGTTTCTTTGCTCCTTGATGCTTCTATACCCAAACAAGCAAACACAAAAACATACAAAAACTATAATTGCTAATCCCGCTCCCTTTTTAACAGTATATTGGAGGCAAAAAATACGGAATCCCTCCTGCGTGCCTTTGGACTCTTGACTTCAAAACCTGAAAGGGTACCTAAGACGCTTAGCGGGGATCCGGCTAGGTCTTCTGCTTTCTTCGACACACCCTCCCTTTGTCTGGTCCCCCCCATCCACCGAAGCGCCAAGCGCTGCTGCTCCTGCTGTCGGTCGATTCGCTCGGCCACCTCCTGCAGCGGCGCTGGAGCGGCGCTCCATATCTTTTTCGGACCCCTGCAGGGTGTTGTACAGGAGTTCCATCGTCGAGTCTATACTAAGAGTATGCCGCAGCATCCTCTCTTGCACCGGGTAATCCCACTCAGGTTGATTCCTTTTGGGTGATGGGTCCCTGGGTAGTTGACCCCTCGAATCACCAATATACATAATTCATTCTATAATTCTGTTGTCTGCCGCAAAATGTGTCGAAAATCACGTCCAAAGAAAGTCTTTCAGCACAATGCTATTTCGGACACGGCCTTTGATCACCTTTGATCACTGGACACCTATATACCTTTAATCATCTTTGATCGCGGTCGGGACGGTCGACTGGATCGACTCAACAGTTGCGAATCCTTGGCCAACTTTTGCAAGCCCAGGTCCTTGGAGTGAAAGTTGGCCAAAAAGGATGTCTGGTGTCGATGACTGACTCACTTCGTCCTCATTCCCCCTTTTGATCCTTTTTGCCTCATTCACCTTGCTCACTTCAAACCTAGACCAGTGGCACAAGCCAAACCCCATAGGACCCCATCGTTCTTGATGACCGGTGTGATCGATCATATGTCGGTCCCGTCGTACGCTTCCACCTCTTCGGTCGACCGGTCGCCCTGGTCGGGCACAGACCCTTGGATCACGTCGTTCCTTTACGAAACGACGCCCCGTTCCACTTCCATGTTTACAGAGAGGGGGTGCAATTGATCTCAAGAAAACTGTTCCAATGGAGGCCCTCGCAGGGATGTCCACCTACCGGACTCCACATGGCTCCAATATCCCACACTTGACGGACAGCTGATTGACCAAGACCAAATGACCAAGAGCTGGTTTGACCGCTCTTCAAGGCTTTGCCGTTGTGCCACCTCACGGTCACCCAAATCCTGGCGGTTTGTCCGAACGCATCTGAGGCAAATGCAACGAGCGCAAAAGCTGTTTGCCATTTCATTGGGCTCCGAAATGGAGACGCACTTGGTCACTAGTCACTAGGCAAAGATGCCGGCCAAATCCGGGCATCATCTATATATAAAGCATAAACATGTATAAAGTGTTCAGCCACTTTCCAGCTGACACACAAGACGAGGCTGGAGTTTTGGATGGCCAGCAGAACATGCAAAGTCATCAAGACCTACAAAGCATCATACCTCCAAGTAAAAGCCACCTCTGGCCCATGCTAGTCTCAGAGCAGACCAAACATCAGTAGAATGCCACGCGATAACGGGTCCATACCGCCCGAAGGTCCTGCAGCTGTCCTCCCAATTCTTCACGGAGGTTGCATACCTTGGGCACGAAGGCTTGAAGGGGCATTACATTCTCAGAGGAGACTATGAAGTATTTAACCAGGTGTTTTAATCTATATATATATAAGTGTATTATTGGTCACTCCTTTAAATTGTCTGCAGAGAGATGAGTCGGAAAAGTTGCAACGATCTCCAGGCCATCGAGGCCGAAACATTAACAACCAGCGGCGTGGATCAATTCCACAAGTCGACAGTGCCAAGATGTCAACGACATTGAGCAGTTTTGGTGGTTCAGCGGTTCCGTACGGTTTTCCCTAAAAGCGTTGGGTCACCCACCCCCCTCTGATTGCATTGGTTGGGGCTTCAACCACGAAACATCAGCAAACTGCATGTAAGATTGATGTACCCCTTTTCTGTTGGTTGAGCAAAAACTGGGGAATTGGACGATATCTATCCATGTCGTTGGCTTTCATTCTGCAGTTCAAAGGTGTCTAAGTCTATCAGGATATCATGAGCTTTCCAGGCCCAAGCCACTAGCTGCTTGCTTTGTTGACTCAACTCTTGCCCCTTCTCCTGTCACAAAACGATGGTCTGTTTTGCTGTTGTGCCTTTGGAAGATCCTCCTAGGTCAGCGTATGTACCTAGGTCATCCGATGCGGTCATCCTCTTGGAATCCTCTTAAAGCCCTTCGGAAAACTCTTCGTGTCCTTGGCCGTTGACATATCTCTCAAACAACCTCCGTCCACACCTCGCTGAACGTATCCTGATGGATATTTGATCATCTATATATATATATACAGTATATATCTATATATACACCACATTAGGGCTCGGGATGGCTCGAGTTGCCTTGGGATCACACTCTCGCCCGAGCACTGGCTCGAGCCAATGCGTGCTCTTGATCGGTCCTGCAAGAGCTGCAGTGCTCGATCAAACTTCTCCCCAATCTCTTGTGACATCGATTCGCATCGGAGAGCCCACCTGCGGGGCGAGATCAACCACGTCCACCAGCGGGGCGTTACCGGGGGCGAGCTTGATCGATCTTCCCGGGCATAGAGGACACAAGTTGCCCCTTGACTTAATGAGTGAAAGAATGAGACACATGTGATAGTGATATGGCGGATATGAGATATGGATCTTGTGACACTCACTGATGGCAAGCGGGTTTGAACCTGCCGCAATAGAACCACTCATGCATGATACGTCATCTGGTCAAACATGTCAAGCACTTTCAAAACTTTGCTCCAGTATCTCTGCACAAGCCCTCATCCCAAAGATGGTGTAGTTGACTGCAAAAAAATGTCGCAGAATAGAGACAACGCATTCAAACACAAACATCAATGTCAAACAGGAACATCGCGCGCACACACACACACATTGACACACCCACAACATTCATCAACATTCCGCAACTATTTTGCTGGTGCTTTCAAGGCACTCTTGCTGCTGTGCTTGCAGCTGCTTCTCCAGTAACGACTGCTGATCAACAATCTGCTTGATGCCTTGCAGAGTCCGGAAAAACCATGGAAAAACGCATTCGATTCAAGTCGTCAAGTCAATTGACGCTTTGAGCTCATAACGGAGAACGACATACAGCCAGTTGTTTTACACAATGACATTGCATGATTATATAGTTGTTGGACGCCACCTTCAATTGCAACTTGAAAAGCATATGCGGGTTTGAAAACTGCAAATGCTCCTGTCCCTCCCGCATGTTCAGGCCATCGGGATAAAACAAAAAGAACCTAACCTGCCCGAAGGTGCACTTCTACATGACATGTCACGCAAATCAGCACTTGAGCATCACCATGTCTAAGGCTTTAAGGTACGTTCTACACTAAGAGCATCCTACTAATGCGGCATGAGAACCATGCCAAACGAAAAAATTAAAAATACAATAAAACATATCCATTCACAATAATTCAATATAATTCACACATACGCCATCTGCTGCAAAGCATGAAAATACTCAAGCGGGCAACCCTCCCCCTCAAAAGCTGATTCTATATAATCGAACATCAAATCACCCACGCTGCTGTTGGCACCCCTTGTTCATCATCCCGCCATCCCCAGAAGTCACCTGCATCCGCAGCTTGAAGGCGACCGTCACGGGCTTCGAAGCACTTCCTGCGTTTGGCGGAGCGCTCTCCGCGAGGCAGCTGAATCAGCAATAACACGCTGAGAGGGCGATGACACGAGCTCCAAATCGCTGAAGGTCAGGCAGTTCAGAAGCAATAACAATCCCGGAGACCTGACGTAATTATGATGGAACTTATGATGGATGATGATGGAATGCTAAAAACACAGCAAATCTGGAAACCAACGAAATGAAGCCTGCCTGTGACACAGCCTGTCGCAGCAACCTGCGGAGGAAAACAGCGGCCTCGTGTGATTCTCTGCACCGACTAACTCACCAAGACTCGGCGGTTCGAGCGGTTCGAGCTTAGTGCTCTTCGGGGCATGGCACCAAGGGGGAGAAACTCCAATACCGGGCCTCGCTGGTCAATCCATTTCGTCTCGAAAACTGGATCGGCTAAGAATGGCTAAGAAGCTCAATGCTCCCATTCCGCTGCGTCTTCCTTTTCACCTCCAAATTGGTATTGGGGCTTTAAAGTGCTTTTCGAGCCTGACATCTTCTGACTCACAACACCAACAACACCCAGTCTGTGTGCGCATCTGAAAGCAATACCCTCTAAGAATTGAAGTCACTCTAGTCTGCATGGTCTCCATGGCCTTTTGGGATGCCGAGTCAAGTTTTCTGCATGTCTCCGACTAGGTCCCCCAAACGACGCAAGACGTGCTTTTGCGCTGTCTCCGAGACCAGGTCCACGTCTCTCTCTCTAGTGGACGCAGCTCCTGGTGTCTTCCTGAGCGGTCTCCAGTTTTTGTCGCAGTTCCTCTGAAGATCTGGAGAATCGGCCCTGCTCTCCTGGGACCATTTGGGTTTCGGTTGCGTCCAAAACGGCACGTCAAAACAACTCATCACAGTGGAGACAAGGCTGTAGACATGCCCTAAAATGCCAGAAGTAAGTGATGGTCCGTGCAAAAGCGATATACTATAATATCCAAAGAGCGGAAGCATAAGCGTGAATGCAATCGATTGAAGTAGGGTTCGTCTCGCGGCAAGCTGGTGAAAATGGCAAATCCATGCAAATCCTCTCTCACCAAATGGTCAGCTTGTCCTTCCAAGAGGTCCATGTGCTTCTGCAAACCTCCAACGAAACCGGCGAAGCCATGCCAAATCCACATCCCCTCCGTGGGATCCACTCTGCAAAGAAGAAGCACCCTTCAAACAGGTTGATGTTGGACAATCACAAACGTGTCCGTGTTTTGGGGGGGCAGGCAGCCGGCGTGCCGCCCGACAGCACCCGACACGACACCGCAATCACTGACGGCTCCGATCTCGGATCTCCCCGGTGAACGGTGGAGCCCATCAAGCCGAGCCACGGTGGAGCCCATCAAAGGCTTCATCACCTGAGAGCGACAAGCTGAGAGCAGCAGTTGCACCAACCACTCGCGCAAACAAGGCTCCGGAGAGATCATGTTCGAACACTTGAAGGTTCTGTGTTCTGACTTTGGACCTGGACTTGCTTCATAAATTACATAAAGCAGCGCTGGATCCTTATCTCAGTCCAACAAATTTGACTGAATACCAGGCGCTTGGAGTTGTTAAAGCTACATCGCGCATCCTCGTACCCACCGCCAAGATAACAGGAAGAATTGACCAGCTTCTTCGAACAAACATCGTGAACGCCTGTCTTGTTAAGCAACAACAGAGTCAAGGCTGATTACAGTATTAATATTTGATTTTGGCTTCTGTGGCTGGAATTGCTTCCGAGGGAGGCACACACTATTGAGTTGCAGCGGGAAACAGCTCACTACGAAACCTCATTCCACTCGTTGAGCGTGAGAAAAGCAGTCTCAGGACAGCCTAAGCTCCATGGTTCCACATGGTTCCATGGCTTAAGTCTGATACCTGGCTCTTTTCACCTCATTGGGGTCACAACTCTTCTACAACTGATTCGGTTCACCCAGTGGTGTGGTGGTCCTGTGGGTCTGGACCGAGCAACGGGTCTCAACCAGGCGCTGCTTCATCTGCCCCAGCTGTTGCTCCTGGAGGGTCGGTCAGGGTATCAACGGCTGGTTGTAGAAGCATGGGTTGTAAGATCTGCCAATGATCTTTCAAAAAATAAGCACATCATTGACAGATCTGTCACTTGAACCCTTTCACCTGACGCCTGCTGACTGTTGCTAGTCTCGGCATTTGTCCATCAATGCACATCCACATCAAAAGCAACAACACATTCTGCTCCCCAGTGAATGATGGCGGAAGGAGTTGCTGCCAGCTCCAAAGCCAAGACTTCCACTGGTGAAATTGAACTTGTATTGAATGTAGGGTGGATAGAGTTTAGCTGAGAACAACAGCAAAGTTGAATAGAGGTTCACTCACCATGAGAGGTTCGCGCTTGATCATGATTCATTTGGATTCACTAATGTCACTCCAGCCAACTGAACACCTGCCAACGAGATGAACCTAATATCTGATCTTGTGGCAACCCTCTGCAGCATGCTCACGGCCTACCCTACGGGATATCTGGAGGTAGTTCCGATCATTGAAACATGGAGCAACCAACGTCTATAGTATCCATAGACCGCATTACATGCAAGTTGAAAAGGTGTCCCATTCTTGCACCCCCTATGATGTCCTGACGATCCAAATCCTCCTGCATCTGCCTGAGAGATTGCTGGAGAGAAGGGTGCATGGGCAAGCTGAAAATCTCCGGTCAACCACCTTGTGGGATCAATATTGGGCACCAAATTTTGGCCTATTATTCTTGTTACCTGCAGGCGTTCTGGTCTTTTTGGGGGAACGCTCGACTACGGATATGGATCCACCCACCAGTGGCTCCAGAGACTCCCGGAGTTCACTTGATTCTGAGCGTTCTTGCATCCTCTTGTATGTTCCAACAGTGTTGCGTTATCTTGTTTTGTGTAGGCATTCTTATCCGTGACTTATATTAAATATATATTATGGTATATAGACGTTCTTGCCTATACCCCGCCCAGTAAAAAACAGCGGCTTGGAGTCCATGGAATTGGCTTCCCAGACCCGGAGGAGTGAGTCACATGTCTGTCGTAGCCAGACCCAGTGGATTGGGGGACCTGCAAACCCGCTCAGTTGCTGTTTCAAAAAACAATAAAACTTCTTTCTGGTTCTGCCTCCTGTGGTAAGGCTGAACGTGATCGTGTCTGGGCTTACCAAAATTGACCCGACACAGGCTGCGTTCCTGGCGAAAGCGGGCAGAATCTCTGGCCTAAGGAGGGTCTAGCTAGGTATGCAATTGGTTCTTCGCTATACTGACAACATGTCATCTCCTCAGGCTTCTGCACAACTCATTCGAAGCTTTCTGGCATTACAACGGGCGCTGGGGACCAAATCCAGCAGCTGCTAATCCACATGAACACATTACATATAAGACCGATACTACAGTAATCTATTAGAATTCTGGAAACTGCACCAAAAAGGGCACAAAGAGAAGTACAGAAGTTGGACATGGTCGGACTGAGACGGCACTAAATTGCAAAAATTGGTGCAGGTCACCAACAAAAAACAAATCCTCGCTATCCAAACAAATTGTTCTGGATCCTTTTGCATTACAAAAGTTTCACAGAGCCCCAGTTCTCAAAGAACTGCGGACCGCAGCGCTGTAGTTTCACGGCAAGACTGCTCAATATTGTTGGGCCATTAGTCTCTCTCTCTCTCTCTCTTCATGCTGAAAAAGCCTTGGGCTGCTGGACATCACCCCAAAAAGTACAGTACCGAGTCTTTCACCATCCCAACTCCGAGTCTTCAGCAACATGCAGCCACCGAGGCTGCCGAAGGGTTAAGCGGCTTCTCTCCAGGGCGGTGGATTGGCTTAGCTCCTGAGGCGAAAACGAAACTGGGGTCGCCTGGTAGTCGCCTACTTCCATCTATAGTGGTCCCCACATAGATAGAAACGATGTTCAATGAATTTGCAGTGGGGATCAGAGATCTACTTTTCTATCTATTTGGATCTATTTGGGGACCACTCGAACCTCCCCGAGGATCCCAACAAATGATTCAACTCCTATGAGGCTCACGCCGCTGGTGCCCGCTGCCGCGGGCATTCCGGAAAACCACATCAACTCACACTCTGTCTAGTCACTCCACCAGGGTCTCCGGGTGGCTCTGGTGGCTTTTGTCAGAACAACGTTCGTTCGGTCGCCGTCGAGGCGCACAGGCTTCCATGGACGTCTTCAAGCGCTGATCCAAGCGTTGCTCTTGACCCTGGCTGGTGGTGCAATGTCTGCTGAAGTTCGGCCGGACACATGGCGTATGAGTCAGAAAGAAGTGATTTTTGGGAGCTCCGCTAAGCTCCAAAGCACCATCAAAAGGTGTGGGATTCTTTTACACTCTCCTTCAAAACCCTGGTTAGTTGGAAGGACAAATCTCTTTCCACCCAAAAGATATGGAATACCATCCACCTGCGCGAAGCAAGGTGGATCTTCGATCACATCATGTTTGCGGTGAACCCTATGAATCGGAAGGTTCGCCAGGCTGGTGAACCTTCTGATTGACAAGGGGCATAACATCTTGGTAGGGTGCCTAAACTGACTGAACATGGTAGCTGCTCTACAGTCTCAATGAGACGAATGAAGACCGCAACCCATCAGCTTCCCAAACATACCTTCGTGTTGGTACTAGTCTTAGGCGTAAATCCAGGGCACCCAGCGAGATCTTCAGTGCGTCTCGATCGGCCTCGAGTGCGTGCTTGAGGTACTCCACGTCCTTTCGCAGTGCGGAGCGCTGTTCTTGAGCTTCCTGTTGTTGCATGGCGGACTGCTCCTTGCCCACCTGAGTCAAAGTCCCCATGTCAGGGAGCAGCTCGCATATAGCACGTGTGTGGTATTAACATGTATTACAGGCATGCTTGGTGCTCCGGGTATGCCAGCGTTCCCAACACCACGAATGGATATCTTCATTGCGAAAAGTCACGCAGTTCCATCTGTGCAGGGATGATTCGATCCTTTCGCCGTGCCAAAAACGGAACCAAACTCTTCGGCTTCTTGGCCCCGAGACGTGCGAGCCTGGCTTGTGACACTGTGCAGCTATAGGATATAATCTATGATATCAGTATCAATATCGGTATCATATTATATCACATGTAATAAATTATATGACCATCCACATATAGTACATCTAATTCATTCTCTTGCGACCGTGGCCCTTGGAGGCCCATGGAGACTTAAGGACACTTGTGTTGCGTCGCCCTTTGATGGCAGAACTTGACTTTCGAGCACTTTCGGAAGCCAGCAAGGAACTGCTACAGCTGTGGCTGCTCAAAAGACCATAATGAGATGTAATTATATAGTTATAATTTATAATTGCCAACTTTCTTTGAAAGCGATCTGATGTTGTGCACCTCAATTTGGATGTTGGGTTGCCACTGAAGATCAGGGAGTTCTGATGTTCCGAATGAAGCTAGAATTCAAATAATCGTGGGAGTGGACAGCATGGCATAGCCCCCTGGGTGTTGTCCTCTACAAGCAGTCGGCGAACTCACTAATCCCCGTCTCTTTCGGTCAGAAGACTGACCTCCCCGACTTCCCCGCAACATGAACTTCGTCAAAAGCGCCTCGAATGCATATTTGAGCTGGTCAATCTCCTTGCGAAGTGTGACATGATGCTGCCCCTCCTGTCAAGTCGGAGCAGTCCGGCAGAACACCATCGTTTCCCTGCTCCAATGGCCAATCAAATCCTTAGAAGGTACTAGGGGGACTGACCCCGCCAAACCCCCACAGCTGATTACGTAGGCTCGTGGGAACAAGAATCACTCGTGTCCATTGCCCAGTGCCCCGTCTTAAATAATCACCAGTCACCAGTCATTTCACCTACACTTCACCTCTACACTCTCTACACCTGAGGTTGGGTATGAATTTGTGCAACTCATCTGATCTGATTTTCTCTGCGGAGCCCAAAATCACGGGTCGTACAAGTGGGCTGCGGATACGGTCTATCCGTGGGCCAAAGCTCTGAGCATTGACGTCGCGGCCTTGCACCTTGGCCATACTCTCACAAAGTCCTTCATGTTTTGGATGTCCTTCAGGTTCAGCAAGGCGTAGCCCAAAGACTTCTGGGGGGCCTTTGAAGCTTCCTGGCATGTAGAAGTCGTACTTCCCGCAAAAGTCCGTGTCGTGTATCTCTTCCACAACATGTGATTGATGGAGCTTTGTTGGGAGATTCTTGATCATCAACGTGGTCACGCTCTTCCTGGCCAGTTCCTCAGCCCAATCACAGCTGCTTTGATCGAAGGTACCTCCCTCGTGCTTGCAGGCCCAACTAGCCATGGTTCAGTTTGTGCTTGAGCCACCTTGCCGCGGCCAGTTGCAACTGCTGGATGATCTTCTCTGGTATCGGAGGTAACAGCTCCTCCAAGTGTACTATGCTCATGTCACCTTCTTACTGGCACCCAAAGGCAAAAGGTGCTGGAGAAACTGTGGCAAAGATTGAGCAAAGCCTTGCTCGCAGGTTCTTGAACTCCTTCACGACGCAAATGTTGCCAAGGGTTGGCGGCCCTTGACCGTAGACCAAACTTTTGATAATCTCCCTCACCTTGGATTTGCTGAAGGACTCTGAAGAAAAGCATGTTCCAAGAAAAGGGATAGTTTGCACAAGGCATAATATATAACCTTTCACCATCTTTCACCCCAATACATAAGCAAAACCCAGTCACGCGGAGCCGCAAGAGTGCCAAGTGCTCAGCAGTGACTCTCATTTCCTGATGCCGGAGCGGCACATCTGTCTTCGGCACCTGTCGCCGGGCCCCACCGGTGCCAGGGTGCCCAGTCCTCAACCTCAACATCATCCTCAGAGTCAACGTCCATGTCATTGCCCTGAAGAAACCTTGCCCCTGTCTTGGTCACGTCACGCCCAGTCTCGTCATCCACTTCGGCCTGAGACGAAGACGTTTCCTGCGACTGTGACTTTGAGGGCTCGGGAGTGGGCTGATCCTCGCGGAGAGTTTGGGTGCGGCAGGCTGTCCGGATGGTACCTGTGGATGCTTTCATCCGCTGGCACGTAGCTCCGGCCTCCGAAGATGCTCCCCATTCATTTGACAATGGAGAAGCTGAAAGGCGTGCAATGCATCGTCCATATCTGCATCTGCATGGCTTGCCGCATACATCGTAGGTTGAGCAGAATCATTCAATGTAAAACTGTGAAACCAAAGTATTCGGCTTGAACCAATTGATCTATCAAAGATCTGTAGCATCTGAACATTCGGAGGCCACTGTTCTTGCAGTAATCACATACAGCGCAAGACCCCAAGTAAGAAAACAAACAAATTGATGCAAAGATCATACAGAATCTGCAAAATTGCGTTCCACAACAAGGACCAAGGACATCAGCCAACCTTTGGCGAACGGCCAAACCATCCAATCGAACTCAATCAACTGGTGCTTCGGCGACTCCAAGTCCCACCTACACATGTTTCGTCGTCGTTCCTCTGTTCACGCCCGCCTCCACAAAGGCCTTCAGGCCCTCCAGCTCCTGGTTTAAAGCTCTCAGCATCTCAGAGCGAAGTTCAGAGTGGTCCCCTCGAAGCCTTGGAGGGATGGGCCAATCCGTGCGGATGAGCCGCTGTGGGACATCATTGCGTTCTGTGGTTCTGTGGGTCATGAGAGCAGGACCTATAGGTGCCCCAGTGCTCACGTCATGAACGAGACAATAAGCTAAGATGCAATTTCTGGGGCCCCTCATAAATGGAGAGGTCATGCCGGATATGAAAAGGGCTAGTTGGACGTCAGGAACAGTCGGAAATGTAGTACACGCGGTGGACGGGGAAGACCTGCACTACCCCAGACTTGCAACAGAGCTTGATACCAAAAGCATGCCTTGTCATGCGACTCACAACACCTCCAGGCTAGGTGCGAAATTTCATATATGTGGAGTTTCTCTTAAGTGGTAACTCACCTCAAGAGAAATCACGAAGTTGGAACCTCCGAACACCTTTTCTTTTGGGTGACGAGATCCTCCCCGCCCCATTTTGGATAGACTGAACTCAGGCCTAGCACTCCCCCAAAAAAATACGCAACTGCCTTGGATGGCCTGGGTGTGTGTATAACACCCGTGGGCAATTCCTGATCCCAAAAAACAACGGTTGTTGTGTTTTCTTACTATCATCGCAGGGTTTGGGCAATGTACAACACGTCTTGTCCTTTGGCAGGGCTTTGACAATATGCGATATCTCCAGTTGGTTTCTTGGCAATGACTGTCAACCTGCAAATTATATAATTGCAGAAGAATTTCCAAGACCCAAGCATACTCAACCTCACTTGTCATCAACTCTCATTGCAAAAATGCTATCACACTGACTTCAAATTGAATTGGGTGCTAACGAGTGAGGTGTTACAGTAAATGTAAAAGGTTTTCATAGACCTGCAAATATGAAAATCCACGAGGCTGCAGGGTTTCCGGACTGTGCCACCTGGATCTTGGGGGCTTCTTTCCCTCCGATCCCTTCGGATTCGTTTCGGTGGAGCCTTCGCGGCCCAGGTGCTGCTGCTCCGTGGCCTGCGTTCGCTCGCCATGCGCCTGGAGGTCGGCCTGTAAGGCGCCACAAACCTGGCACAGCAGTGGGGCAGTTCCTCTCAGCCAGCAAGACATGTAGATGGTTGATAGACATATGTGACATAAGCACATCAAATCCTATAAAACTGCCCCTAGCTGGAGATCATCCACAAAGAGGTGACCAAAAGCTTATGAATCAGTCGACAATCAGCAAGTGGAGAAGCTTTCGTGATTGCTCCTGGGATCCCTTTTGAGCAAATCTCCGCCCCAGCTCCTCACTCCTATACCAGCTAAAATGGTCGAAAAGACTGGACTCACATGTTCCAATGCGTCAATGAGGGAGAATCTGGTGCTATGCAGGTTCATCTCCCCCACCAAGAAAGTAATAAGTAATCGTTCAGGCGTGGCACCTTCTGCCCGGATTTACCTGCACATATACGATACAGTATATATTGTATGTAACTGTCATATATATATATATATAACCATATTAATATACGCATGTATATATAACCATATATACTGTAAATGGCCATATAAAAATAATATTGCATATAATATATTCAATTTGTAACTATATGTAATTATGCATAGCTGCTTATTACCCTCCGATCACTCTGATGCATCCAAACCCATTGTCTTGTCAATGCATGCGGAATCAACCTGTAACTGCAAAACGCACCATCTACAATCCTGAGAATGCCATCCTGCAGTACGATAGGACCGAATCATCACACAATCACACCCAACTCATCAGTTGAATCTACAACTACTGCATCCACCGATGCTTTGTTGATTTCATCATATTTCATCATATTTCATCTGTCCATTCCCCTCCGCCTTGGCCAGTTCTTCCAGTTGCGGATGACTTTCCGCCACTGCGGGGTCTCGTTCCTCGCGGGAATCCCGGTCTCGCCATAACAAGAGGGACTCCACCTCATCGCCTCGGTTTTTGACGCAGTCGGAGCATTTGAGGAAAACGGTGCCATCTGTTCAGTTGTTCGTTGATTTGAAATGACTGGGGAAGGGAATTGAAAGGATTTAGTTGTTTTTTTGTGGATGTGGCTGGACTGATGTGCTGCCTGGCTAGGACTCTTTCATGGGCACACGCACGGAGGCCTGCCGGACGAATTCAATCCAAAGGGGCGTGGACTCGGACGAATTCAATCAGATCCAGTGGACTTGCACATCTGTGTATGGGGCGGGGGCTTGTGCCATCTGTGCTGAACTTCCCATTCGTGCATGCATGTGCAAGCCGAAGGGATCATTCGCGGGACTTTTGTCTAGCAACTCCCCAAGGTGGGCATAGAGAGAAAAAGGAGAAATGAAAGAACACAATCTAGAGTAATCAACGTTGCCAACCTACCTGGCAAAACCGAATGTGAATCTTCTTTGCAATTTGCCTGGTGGCCTTGGACAATACATTTTATAGTACAAAACGGTGTTCCCAACCTCCTTGGCTACAAAATAAAAGGTACCATGCCAAAACACCGTACTACAACATAACCTCTGAATTATTGGCTGACCAAAAATAGAGGTCCTTAACCATAATATAGGAGATTGCCCAAGCTGATTTTTTACGCACAACCCCACAGAGCAAATCTGTGGCGGTCCGAGCGGAGCAGCTGCGGGCATGATAGGACAGCACTGGGATATTTCCATGAATGATGTTAGATGATCTATGCCAGTACATGTAGCATGCCCTAAATGTTCCTTGTTCAAGCCCAACATTTGGCTGCAAATCAAGTTCATCTCTACAAACAAATGAAACGCCCAACCTCTCTTTTTGATTATTTTTTGACCAAGTGCATCTCCATACTGTAATACAAAGTAATATTGCCTGAGGCTTTCTGTCATCCCAACTGACGCCCACAAACATCCCACTACAAAACGTTTTGCCTGAGGTCTGGGGTGCAAAATCACAGCACCTTACTAAACAATGCATGGACATCCAAAATGTCCATTTACGAACTGGCTTTCTGTTTCGTAGTGGCCTTGACCCATCCAGTGGAAATTGGCACAAGGATGAATGTGAGTATGTGTTCAAAACACCCTAGAGTAGAGAGACGCATAGAAGCAAGCACAGAAAAACATGCAAACAACCAGAAAGAAAGACCAAACAAAAAAAATGTTGCCAAAAAGCGAATCCCCATGTTGACCGTATCAATTTGAGCTGGCACTTTCACGACCACGAACGGAAGTTCGTAGCCCAGGAAGCCAAGGAACTAACCTTCGTGAGCTTCTCCCACAAACAGTCAATCATACTCACTGTGGCCACCGTCTTTTGCGCGGCCGCTGGAGCATCCAACAGCTGCCAACCCTCTGAAGGTGAACTGCATGGGATTCCTCGGCTCTTCCCCGATGACTTGGGCTGAAGACAGTTGGTACACTTGGGACATCCCAAACCCATTAAAACACTATCGCAAAGAGGTTGGTTTCCACCTGAGGCTGCGCCTGAGGCTCGAATTCACCTGGGGTTGGAATCACCGTCTCAATTGCGTCGCAGCGGCTCGCACTTCGCATATACAACCAGCCAATTACACCGCCGAGTTGAACGGACTGGTACATTGAGGGGTAGCCTTACTATGAACACCCTAGAACCGAAGCCATAGGGAACCACTTCATGTCCTGGCCTCCTGACCTGCAACCTGTGGAGGTTCTTCGCACCGATTCAACCTCAGCTGCTTTGGGACTCTGAGGGCAATGGGCGGCTGGGCGTCTCTACACGGGCCATGGCGGGCGTTTCAGCGATGAGAAAATGCTGGGTGTCTCTTCACCGACACACCACTATTACTTGCAAAGTTTGAGGCTAATAGAAAGTGTAATAGCCTAGGCAGCCTATGTAATAGTAGTGAGTCTCTGTTTGCCGAGGGTTTTCCCAGTGCCGCGTACCCAGTGAGTCTAGAATCTAGAACCTTGGTAACTTGGGCTGGACTTATCATGGTGGATTCCGACACTGGGCCACCAAACCTGTTGTATGCCGAATGGTTCTCTCCTCTTTGGGATCCGGGATCCGGTTGAAAGTGGAATCAGTTGTAGAATTGTACAACTGAATAGTTGATGGCACAACCTGTACAATTCAGGCTGAATAACTGTTGACTGTTGATATCTGTTGATTTAACTGCTGGTTGATATGGTTGATCTTCCAGGCTACTGTGTCCATTCTGCATGAGGGCTCCGTGCAAATTGGAAAAGACCTCGCATGGGCCCAGAAGCTCGTTGAGCCAAGGTGACACGGCCAGCGTGACCGGTCTGGACCAACAAACAGAACCCCCCAAAGCCTGTCGGGAGAGGACGTGTCATGTCGTGTGCATGCTATCTGCAACACTTGTGGTTTAACATGTTTATACATTGTTAAACTTTCAACCGGCCCCTTCATTCGCATTTGCCTTCTGGCCACTGCATTGCTTGTAGCAATCCTTCTTCAGCAACTAGAAGCACTTCATCTTTGGAACTCCCCCCTGGGAATCGCCAACGGCACTCATCCTCGGGAGGATCCTGGGCGATCGCAACAAGTCACCCGCGCATCGAAACATTAATTAAGGACGGGTGCACAGTGAGCTCGTATGATCTACAAATTGAGCTTGTATGAGGTGCAAGCATGGACAAACATATAGTGTTTGTCCATGTTTGCACCTCCCTGAGATCTTCTATTTGAATCTGGGCACGCGGCACTGGCATCTGGAAGAGGCCCGGTGGGTCATGATGGTCTGTTGGCCAGAACAAGTAGTTGCCTGGGCTTTTCCAACTTTTGGTCCCATAAATGTTTCCCGCCTAAATTGGCTTCTCATGCAGCTTGCTGATTCTCTTCTTGGCCTCTCTCGGACAGGTTCAGAGGTTTCCCCGGTCTCATGGTACAGCAACAGCCGCAAGCATGGCAAGCCTGTGCAGGATAACTATGAATATAGGCAAAAGTAGGCCAAGGTGTCGACCGTGGACCCTCTCCAACTGTTTCTCTTCTGGACCATCTCAAGTTAAGTAACTCCCTCCCCACGCGATGTTAAGACACGTCTGGGTCGTGTCATGGACCGTTGCAGTCCAACCCTCTGGAATTTCCTTCGGAATTTCGTTCCCCCGGCCCTTTCCGGCCACCGCTTTTACCGCAAACCATGCGATCGGGCCGACTGCTCGCATCTTGGATGCAGCAAGCTGGCAAAACGGCCGAAACAGTTTCTGGCCACCCCTACGTTGCTCAGCTTCTTCAAAGCTTGGGTTGTGGAGCGGATCCAAAAATGCCGCGGCATGTGGGATGTTTGGCCAGGCCATGCCAGGCCTTAGGTCTCCCCCTGAATCACCGTACTGAACGAAGGACTGAATTCTCGTCATTTTCACACAGCCGTGGTTCCAGCTGCCGGATTTCACCAACAATGGGATCAGTAGGTCTCAACATGTCCATCTCAATACACCACACCATATTATGAAACAGGTGGATCAGGTTGGGGCATCTCATGACGGAAACATCCTGAGGGACAGCTGTGAGCCTCAACCTCAATATTCATCACACTCGGCTTCTGGGACTTCATCTTCTCCATCTCCACCTTCTCCTCCAGCTGCCTTCGGCTCTACAGCCCAGCAGGTGTTGTTGGCTTTGGGTTCCTTCACTTCAGCTTGGAACGGAGTCGTTGGAAGCGACGACGGGTCCCGCTCAGCCAGCTCATTCTCAAAGGAACCTCAGCGTGGTGGAGGGTGCTCAATGCTCCCTATGGGCTCAACACCAAAAACTTTTGTCAGGGTGAGGCTACGTATACATCAAGTCATTCTCAGATGCGTGGCCCAGCGGTAATGGCAGCAAATCGATCGTAATTACCGGTCTCAGTTACGAGTCCAGGGTCTTAAAGAGTGTGCCAATCAATCATGAAGTCATTGACTCCAAAAGGGGCACGGGGCCATAGGTCCATAGGTTCTGTGCTTGTCTCGCAGTCGGTGGTTTTTGGAAATGGGGCACCTCAACCAGCGTGTTGCCTGTCCATTTGCCCTACTTCTGGCAGTGCTTCGAAGCGCGGAGAGAGAAAAAGACATGCACGGCCCCTCGCGGGTATGTCTTCCCACTCGTGAGCAGAAAAAACAACGAAAAAAACACCTAGCTCACTGCAAGGTCCCTGCCCTGCGGGCCCTGCGGGCCCTGCAGGGTCCTGCACCCGAGTGGCTCAAAAGCTTTTGCATCTGGAAGAAGACGTTGGATTGTGGTCGCCCAAAAATGTCGATGGAGCGCTCCCAAAAGGGAAGTCCTGGATCTGCTTGCGCATCGTTCGCGCTGTGTTCCAGATGTGGACAGGGAGGTCAGCGACTACATGGGGGATGGGATGACTCAAATGACTGATGTGTCATTGGCATGCCATCCAAGAGATGTGGTCGGCTTGACTTTATGAAAAAGGATCAGTTGAGCATGCAGTGCTTCTTCTTCCAAAGTTACTATCCTGATCTGAGGGATGTGGCGGTCACAGCACCTGGCCTGGCTTCCTCTCTCGGTTGAACTCAAAGAAGTCCACAAAGTCCAGTATACTTCCTAAATAAACATCAAAGATGACGCCCAGATGTTTGTCACTTACACCGGTGAAATCTAACATCTCAAAAAAATAATCCTTGTGCCGTGTTAGTGTGGCTGCTTTTGGCTAGACTAGTGCGTTCCTTAAGATTTGGAGCTATGTTAGTATTGAAAAGCTGTGGAAACAAACCGGGGAAATCTGGGCAAGGTTGGACGCTGTTGAGTCTAACGTGGAACAATCGAAAGCATGTTTCGAGCCACCTTCTATGTTAGTGTGTGCGCCTGTAGCATTTTGGCTATCTCTAGCATTTCTGTGCGCCTGTAGCGTACTGGGTGTACGCTTGGGAGGGGTGCTAAGGTTCAAGAGGGGTACTTGGGAGGGGTGCTGAGGTTCAACTGTGGACAACAAGCTTGGGAAATCCCAGGGATTGTTGGATGCTTCGAGTCTAACATGGAACATTTCAAGATCAAACACATAGCTGCTTGTTGGCCATCAGGCATATTCTATGTTAGCATCTGCGGTTCCGTTGCAGAAACTAGCCATGCTTACTTGAGAGTGTTCTATGTTAACCTCCAAAAACCACATAGCCTCAACCGGTGCTTTCCTATTTCCCCAGGAGGTCACCGTTGCAGGTGTGTCATGTTAATGAGCACCAACTTTGAGACCCGTGCCGTGCTCTATGGTAAAGTTCCCCGGAGTAATATCTATATGTATGTATGTGTGTATATCCATACATTTATATAGAGAGAGATTTGAGCAAGGCATGTTGTGAGGTGAACCTGTAGCACATGATGACAAATGCAAAGCTCCATATCAAATTGGGCAGTGTGTTGCATGGATCTTGCCGCCGGCACCCTTGGTGGCATGGAGTTTGACGGTGGCTGCAGGGCAAATGATGCCTCCCGGCGAATTCTGCTTTTGCCGAGTGGCCAATCACGGGCTTGGTCAAAATGGTCCCCTTCTTGAATGCTGCCGCAACCCTGCAGAAGGACGCTGGAAAAGACTTTGGATGCATGAAGACGTTGGAGCCCTTGCTCACGATCGCATACCAGCTCTTCACTTCCTGCGATCGTCCGGCAACGAGCTGGTTGCCGACGACAATCATGGGGTCCATTTTTAGGTTACAGTACCGTACATAATCAAACCCCGAATCCCAATCACCAGTTTGTAAATGCTGCCGCTGGGTGGAAGGACAGCGTGACATCCCAATTTCTGCTCAAACCGGCCAATTCCGGGAGGATCCCGCTTTTGTTCTCCGAAACGGCGAAAGAGCCTATGGCCCAGTCAAGTGAACCGAAACAACTCGAACCTTCACAGACCAAGCAACTGACCATGAACCTACCAAAGCATTTTGCCATCCATTCTGCATCATTCTGCCTACCACGTGACATGGGCATGGTTCAACAAAACCCCAAGTGTCTGGAGCTGTAAGGGAGTAGCTCCTTGGTGGCAGGGGATGTTTTCGGGGTACCTACCTGGTTCTTCAAGGTGACCTTTCAACATGAATATCCTGATATCCAGGTTGGAGGTCACTTGAGCCATCTTGAAAGGTCACAAACAGGGTGACTCCAAAAAGGTCACGACCTGAAGGGTCCGCTCACCACCCCTCGAGGTCCGAACGACCGCGACTCACGCGCCTCCAGGTCTTTCAAGCGACTCTGCAGAATCTCAGATCTGCGAGGAGTACGGAAGCCTCAGAGATGGCCAAGGGTAAAGCTGGAAAGAAGTCCTGTTCAGGTAGACTCTTGACGAATAAAACGTATATATAACACCCATATGCAGAGGTTTTGCAATCCAAATAGTGCAGAAGGGTTCGGATGGTCTTCGTTCCTGGCCTTCCAGCTGTTTTGCCCACCAGTCACTCACTAGGACCACTTCACCATGGGAACCCATGGGAACCCGACAGCCGCATGGGCTGCTTGACGTCAGCCATATGGGATGCGCGGAGCCGTCCAGCCGTGGAACATGATGGGAACCATTGAAACATCAATAAACCCATCAAAATCATAGTCATAACCCATCAATATCCCATCAAGCCGTCAGACAACGAATATGAATCATATGAATCATATCTAAGAACATGAAGATCCATCATGTAACAATGTATGCGCTCAAATTTGTAGGAACATGTGCCATGCTATCATGCTGTGAATGCTATCCTGCAAGTCAAGTAGCGAGCTTTGTTGAAGTGCTGGAATGTGAGACCTTCCACCAGCAAGTCGCCGTTGGGAAGCTTCTCAAAACTCGTGTAGTCCGCTTCCGCGTCCTCCTCGCGTACAAACCGAGGACTGAACTGCGCTGCAAGCCACTGAAAATTGGATGCCACGTGGGTACACAAGGGTCCCCCCACTGTGACGTTGCAAGGACAAGCCAATGTGACTTGATGTGACCAATATGCAAAGCCTATGATAGCCTATGCGTGTTTCCCCCAGTCCCGCAGCGGGCGACTCCCTTTCCATCACGCTCAAACAATACGAAGTCGCTCCGCCAGTTGGGCTGCTCCGTCTTGGGTCAACTGCGCTACTCTATTGGCTGTGCCATAAGATAAATGTCTTGGAGCCAAAGAAACAGGCCAGATCATTTCGAGCAGAACGGCCACTTTCCGAGACAAAGCCAACCTGAAGCGAAATGCTGAATCTTTGTCAGCTCAGCGCCCACGTGCCCATCACATAGCCTGCAGAGATCAAAAGCGAAGACAAAGTTATTGTTGTCGGGATTCCTGCGACCAAAAAGTTCTTCACTGTCAGCCAAGGCTTGCCCAAATCATCGACTGCCATCAAGGAATTGACATTTGGAAAGCTGGTCATGGGCAACGCACAAGCTGTAGAGCATGCAAAGGCTCCAAGAAGTACTGCTAGTCGATCAACTCCAGCCTCTTTCCCAAGCTCGACCACTAGCGGCATCAGCACCAATGCCGCCACTGTGTGGGATACAAAAGTGGTTGCACCAACAATCACCAGCATTAGCTCCGCGATCAGCAGCCAAGGACTGGAGGACAAGTGCTCTTTGATGGCATCTGTGACCAAATCTAAAAGGCCGCTTTCTTGAACCGCCAAGCCTCAACAAGGTGACCTCTCCAAAAGCTGTTCAATGGACATATTGGATCCCTGATGATCCCTGCCGTTTTAGACTTTTTGACCGTTTTAGTCCAACTGCCCACCCACCCACCCAAGCGGTAGGTCTCCCCCTGGCCTAAGGCACTGCCTCCGCCGATCAAGAATAGGAGATGCCAGTTGTAAGAGTTGAAGGTTTGCCGCGAAATGCCCCCAAGCCCCAAGGACAAGGCTACAAACAGCAGCGCAACTGATGAGGTGCCGCCAAATGCTTCTGCAGCTGGCGCGTAAGCAAACACGCCAAGCGTGGCTAGAGCACCAAAAAGTCCAACCATCTTTCCACGGGACAATTCCTCTTGCTCGAAGACCACTGGTGGTATCTTACTGACAAGCTTGCCTGGCGCTTGCAAGCGAGAAGCCTCCGATTCCGAAAGGTCAAACTGGTAGACCAAGAGGATCAGCAACCACGACACGAAGACTGCCAGAGTGCAAAAAGGGATGCTGAGCATCAGCCACTCGGCCCAAGAGATGTCTTTGCCTTGCTGCCTTAAGGCCTGCAATGATGCAACGTTCTGAGGAGATGAGATGGGTGTCATCATCCCACCAACATTGCAAGAGAAGGCCAAACCCAAAAGCAAAGCTCTTGAGTATCTGCTGTCAGTTGGCATATCACGAAGCAACGGCTTCAAGACCTCTACCAAAAGCAATGGTGCGGTAACGTTCGAGAGCAGTGCCGACAGCCAAACCCCAAGCCACATCACTGCTAACATGAAAAGGAAAGGCTTGTCGCCCAGCGACCGTTGCAGGAACCAGGCTGCGCGACAGTCCAGCTGACATTTGGAGAAAATGGAACTCATTGTGAAGCCGCTAAGGACAAGAAACAAAGATTCATTGAAGACCGAAGCCAACAGCTTCTTGGCCTAGAACTGATGTGTGGTGCTGACGCCAAATTGTTCTAAAGTATGAGCCTATTTGGGGGGGAAAGTGCTTAAGACATGAAGTGGTGAAAAACACTTTCGAAGGCCCGTCTTTGCTACCCCGAACTGGCCTGCTGTTCTTTGCTACCTTCCATGACGTCCAAAGCTGTTGCCAAAGGTGCCACCAACATGGCAGTGGCTTCAAAGGGAGCCGCCTCAGACACCCACATGACGACAGTGAACATCATGAGGCCAAAGCATCGCCGCGCCCTTTCCAAAGGCACCATGAACTGAGCTGACACCACAAAGACCAGCAACCCTACCTTGGACTTACTGATCGTCCAAAATACTAAGTGGCCCAAAAACTCCCCTGCAAAGTTCCCCAAGACTCAAAAGCGAGTTTCCCCAATTCTTTTGTGGAAGGGGGAAACAGGGACGAAACTTCATCTTAGAGAGCTGCAGGCCACAGCAGCGGAGAAGAGTGTGCGCCGCAAAGACCAGGGTTTCTTCGACAGTCCAACTCCACCAGATTCCATGGCTAAGGAGCGCAGTTCCTGCAATCTCTTTGGTTCTAGTAGCGATGGCCTTAAACCTACTAGCGATGGCCTCCAACCTAGTAATCCCTTCCACCTATTAAAAAACACGAGGGCCCCCCCCAATAAGGAAACCTCGGTCGCATTTTTCTAATAGGGGGTCCCTGAAATCAGGGGGTCCAAAAACAGGATCACCTGGAAAGAGTTTCAAAAAAATAATCCAGTAGAATTTTATATAAAATCCTGTATTAAATTCGTATCAAAAATGCAAAAAACCTCCAGATCGAAGGGTCTTCCTTTTCCCCTGCAAAAACCTTCATTAGAATAGTGATTCTTCAGCTAACAGCAAAAGCTTTCGAAAGGTGATGTTGGTGTGGCATGCGGTGTTGCATGACCTCGGTGGCAAGTGCGTTTGCGTGAGTCCGTGCCATTGGGGGAAGGAAAGCCTGCTGGTGTAAGCGCGGCGTGTCATGGTGGATAGACAGGGCGGACAGAGGTGGGCAGTTACGGTTGTTTTTGGAACCTAATAAGAAAAACCCTCCAAAATCGGCCATGTTGGTAGTTTAGTAGCGGCTTGAAAGGGCGGTAATTTAAAAACAAATATAAACCGTATTTAGGGGGATCCGACATGACTTTTTTTTAATTAGGGTCCGTTTTTAAATAGGTACTCGGGATAAGTGATGACCTCCAACCTACTAGCGATGGTCTCCACCCTAGTAGCGCAGCTCCTGCAAGCGCTCAGGGCTCACCAACTGTTCCAACGCCCGGCGACAGGCGCGCGCACGCTCCCCGTTGAAGGGTTCCGAGGACGACCGGGTCGCCAAGGGACTTTGCTTCAGGCTGTGCTCGACAAAACCTTTCTGACAGCTAGTTCCACACTGCTTGTCCATCTTCCTAGGATTGGCAGCAAATCCTGTGCTTAAGGAACCTCGAAAAAGTATGCACTATAGACTATGCAGTCTTCTTGACTTGAGGAAAACACATATAAATATAGTATGTGCAAAACTCCAGGCTTCTTGACGATCTTGCGCAGCGCCTCCACATTTAGAAGAACAAACTCCGTCAGCCTCACTGCTTCGAGATGCAAAGCCGAGACCTCCTCTGCATGTGGAGAGCCCGAGAGTTGTGCACCTTCGGATTCTTCGGATGCCACGAGTTGTCGCACCCGGGCCTCCAAGGCGGTGACTTTGTCCTTGTACCATTCACCCACCCGCACCAACTCATGGTCGACAACTTGCATGAACTCCTCCTGTCTCTGTTGCATCGCTTCCTCCTGCAAAAAGGGATTTGATGCGCCGTTCTCTGCACTTGGCCTTTCAGCCGTCCAACTGATTCTGCGATCCCACTCGCTGTCTGTCATGGCTGCACGTGTCACATCATCATTGTTGCTGCTCCCAACCGCCTCAAGCTGCTTGATTCGCTTGATCTGCTCAAGTTTTCTTTTCAAGCGCCCGTATGCCACATACTTGTCACGCCATGCAGGAACGCTGCGTTCTTCAATTTGCTTCTCCCATGCCACCATGGCACTCAAGCTGGACTGTAGAGGCCAAGAACTGCCTTAACTTATTAATTAGCTATGTGTTTTGTTTGTGCATGGCTACACATCTTCGTCATGCAAATTTGTACCCTGAACGTCCTGGTCCTTGTCTATTCCACTCTGGTCTGAGTCTGCAATTGCAACAGGAGTTTCATCTGGTGCAGAACAGTCTGTCAGTCGGCCGCGGTGAGCAAAGCACCCCGCAGGGTCAACATGTAATAGCTCACTAGTCACACGCTTCACCGTGCTACATGCCCGGGCCAAGAACATAAACCTCCGGAACCTTCCAGACTTCCAGGAAAAAAGCAGCTCCACACAAAACAGGTCCTCCACATCTTCTTGGTCTGCTGGCGCATTTTCTCCCGCTTCTTCTTCGATGGCCTTTTTAATCTCCTCTCTTCACGAGCAAATGATGATCCGTTCTTCACAGGCCAACTGGTCGATTGCAAATTCACTCCGCAGCAAACATGTCTTCTACGGCTACTTTCGTCGCCGGAGGCCTTCTCTGCGCGGGTTTTGGACAGTTGGAAACTCTGCCTCGGCTTCGTTGCTACACTGCCGTACCATTGTGTTGGTTTCAAGGGTTCGAGAGCACCTGCCGTACCTTGTCCAAACAAACTTTAAAGGAGTTATGCTGGACCGTTCCATATCAGCAACATATTGAGTTTCCTGAGTTCTGTCCATGGATCCGTCGGGCTCAAATCCTGGGGGTCCCTGCAGTTTTCTGGGAGTCTTGGGGGTCCCTGGGGGTTTTGGGGGGTTCCTGAGCGTTCTTGGGTCCTTTCAGCCTACGAATCTGGTTCGGTTTGGTGTCCGGTCGGCACTTTTCACCGGCGTGGCTGGAGATCCATGGAGCTTCACAGGCCGAGTTTCGTGGGTTCCCTTCATTCTGAACCGAGTTTCGAATCCAGGCTCACCCTAGAAAAACACAGGTCCAATTACAAAATGCCAGTGGTAGCCGGTGGCTGTGGCTGTCCGTCCTCCTGCAAATCCTTCGCCGTCTCGTCCATGGAGTCCAAATTTGCCTTCCAATCCCTTGTCATCAGCGCACCTGACGCCGACGCCGCAGCGGTCCAGTCATCGCTCAATTTCGGTGGCAAAGCTGTTTATGAAATCCTGCACCACCTCAAAGCATGCCAAAAGGTAGTAAATGGCCGTTTCCTCGCCTCAGGGGTGCAACCCAACCACCTGTGGTCAATCATTCGTCAGGATAAACATTGCATTACTTTACTAAGGTGCAGGTACGTCCGAACCATTTGGGACAAACAGGTTCCTGTCACTTGATGCCCTTGATGATCCAACCTTTTGCTCAATATCGTCACAAACCATCACAAACCCAATGTGATGGAGAAGGGATGGTTGTGCCCTTGCAATAATCACTTGGGACATGGGCACGGTTCCCGTAGTCATCGGATCTTCCTCACAACGCCATCTTGATTGGATTTGATTGAATGTACTTGTCCCGAGGGGCAGCTATTGAGAAGCTTCATTCATTGGGGGCTCCAACTTGGGTCACAAAGCAATGCCCCCAGGCCCCAGCTACACCTGCTTGCATCAGCATCATTGCGGCAAAGTGGTCCTTCCCGGTCTTGTAGTCTCCTCGATTGGTTCGCAGGCTGGGTGCAGCAGCAACAAATGCCATATGTTGGCATCTGGCTGGGGGTCCAGAAACGAATCTGGCGCAGGATGAAGGCATGAGCAGCCCTAATTCTCACAGGTCTTGTGGCCTAGAAGATCAAACAAAGTAAAAGTCATCTAGTGACTAGTGTCTACACACCAGGATTCCTGCAACTTGAGGTGCACCTCCATGACCGATCGTGGAGGTAAAGGGTCCCACTTTACCCAAAGGCTCCCAAAACCCGGGCCCAACACCTGCTCTTAAAACATCCTCAAACCACAAAGAACTTCCCCTCTGGCCAACGCCAAAGGCTCGGTCCAACAAGGCCAACGCCCCACAGCGTTCCTGGGCACGTTGCAGGCAAGCCAACGAACACCGTCCCAAGACTCAATGAGTTCCGAGAAAACAAGGGTTGGTCACTGGCAAGTTGGTACTGCCCCGGACTAGTGGCCTTGAAAGGGAAAGACCTGGACCTGCATGGGAGCTTGAGTATCCACGATTAAAGGGTATCCGCATAGCTTTTCTGCAAGTTGTGCCCTTGGTGCCGTTTGTAGATGGCCCACACCCCGCGCAAATTGACGGGGGGCATACCACTACACCCACTGTAGATGCTTTCTGTTGTTCAGTCATGCGGGAATTGGGAACATCTTCCACGGGGCTCCCATCCGGCTGAGCCTCCTGTAGAGGAACCGCACCTGCTGGTGTGAAACTGCAAACAAGTAGCACAAAAGGCATGGATGTTCTATCTCGTGCGCACCGGCAATCTCTCGGAAAGTCACTCCAAGCTTTGCCACCGGATTCTCTTACCAAGGCTCGTTGCCACCCTCTTCATAGGCCTGTCGCATGGAACCAGCGCTTAGCTTTGTTGAAGCTTCCTCACTGTGAATGGAAAACCCTGGATATGCACCATTGATATCCTAGAAGGTCCGAACCGCAGGATTGATCAATACCACAAAGCACAACACCGTGGTAGGTTGATTTTGTTGGTAGTCCATGTTGCTTCCTTAGAAGTCGAAGAAAAGCCACAGCTGTGTGAGCGTCAAGTCGTAATTGTCTTAATTATATAATGCTAAACATCATAGACTAAGCAAATCTAAAGTTCAGCGCCGTCTCCTGTCAAAACTGGTAGGACTAGGACCAATGCGATCGCACAGGGCGGGCGATATTCCCTGCCAAAAGGGCAACAAAAACACTCAAACAGGTGGTCTACATTATGTTACACCACCCGAAGTTACAACACGTTGGTGGCTGTGACTCATTACAGCGTTTAGGATCAACTGGTAGTTACAGGACTTGTCCATCAACAAAACCACCTGAAAATAACTAGACTAGTGACTAAACCAAAACGGGTTTAATTATGTTTCATTTATAATCCTGAAAGTCCTGGATGCTCAATTTAAACGCTACTTAGCACTATGCAGCGATTAATTACCAGGCCACCTGATTTAAGATTTAGTCTGCACGGTTTGCCCGTGGAACTTCGAGGCTTGCCCGAGCGCCTGCCACTTGAAGCAAACATGCAACCAGCATCTGAACCAAACACACGGAACCAGCATCTGCCTGCATGTAAGCGTTCTCCAAATCAATCTCTGGATGCTTCAGCAGCAGTTCTAGAATGTCTCGGCGAGGGGCCACCAGCATGCGGTCCTGACAGCACAAATCCGAGCTCAAACCGCCAGAATCCGAACCGGAATGACCGAGGATGATTGTCCAAAAACATTCCAAAAATGGACTTGCCCTAGCAAAACCAGGGCCAGGTGTGGGTTAAATAGGTGCATTGATGGAGCATCCTGGGACCAATCAAATGGTAACCATTGGAGCATTATGTAAAACAATGTTTGCTGGGTGCGGCTGCTGATTTTGAGGAACTATGGAAAACCATGTGACAAGGAATCCCTTGCCTGACTTCTAGCGAGTGGTGACAAGGGAATCCAATTGTTCAAGTTGACCTCAGTTGGAGGTGGAGATTCATGACAGGTGAAGATTCAACAACTTCAAGAATTGTTTGTTCATATCATGTCTTGCATGTTTGTGCAACATTGGGTGGTCAAAATCCCTACCTCAAAAAGGGGTAGCGGGTAGTGGCCTCCAAAATCAATTTCAAGGTGGACCCTCATGCATATCCGGGAGCACCTTACAATCAACAAGGGAAAACCTGCGTATCCGTATCCTTCAAGAGGCAGCCCCAAGGATACAAATGAAGAACAGTGACCAGCCGGCGGCCGAAGCAGCCCTTGGACCTTTAACAAAGCCACCAAACGGGACCCAAGTGTTCCATCTGGCCTCGTGCCAGTCATCCGAGGGGGTGCCTCCCCAAGTCGAACACACATACATATGCGTTCTTGCTCCTAGTAAGAATGCTACTAGTAGCGATGCCAGGAGCCCCTAGTAGCATCCTTTGATGTCCTTTGCTCCTATATCATATGCGTTCCATATCTTCATATTACAGTACTTATAATCCAACGCCTGCAGGAGACCCCTCTCTGCACGGACCCCAGGACGAGCTCCAAGTCACTGACTCGGCCGTATGATAGCAGGAACCAGTGTCCAGGTCCTCGATGAGTGCCATTCCCAACGGGGTGCAGCGAACATGGGAGCCGTGCCATCCATACCTTGAGAAGCGACAAGTGTGGCAGCATAGGACAAAGCATGGTGCAAATGGTAGGAGGGCAATTTGCACCTTGTTGAGTCTTTAAACATCTTAGAGTAAAAGGCCTCAAACCTCAGAATGACCGATTTGTGGCCAAGCATGAGCAGCAACTGAACAGAAATGACCAGACTTTGGGGTCTAAGGAAGCTTTCCACCAAACCATGCCAGGTCGCACAACCCAGGTACGGTACGGATGGTCTATTCAAACAAACCGCACCTTCTTTCGCTGACTAGCACTGTCTAGCACCCAACGGCACTGCATGCCGAAGCCGAGTTGTACCGCGTGGCGTGTCGAGTTCCCCAGCCGGCTCCGGTCACCAGCCGGCTCCTCCCTGGCTCATTGTCCCGCATCCAGGAGACGAATAAGCGCCACGATTGGGATCCAGCTCCGGCGTCTCCAGCAACACCTGCGAGGCGGGCCTTTCCGCCGTTCGGCGGAGTGAGGACAACCAACGACCCACAGGTCCGATCAAAGGGGTCCCAATGGGTTCCGACCTCTACGGCCAGTGTCAAGTGACCTCTACAAAGGAGCCGACCGTGCTGCGTTTGAATGAAAATGATCAAGGGATAGCCTGAATGACATGAACACAAGAACCTGTCAAAACGATTCAAAATGTGCTCCATTACACATGCAGTTACTTCAATTTTTAGTATATGGGTTGACATGCTCAGGCACATGCTCAGGGTGGAGAGTCTACAAACGGCAAATAGCGGTATACACTTTGGTGATTGAATGTGGTTGGCATACAATAGTGAAAACGGTTTTCTAGTCTGAGCCTCGGGACCACATCCATTGAACGCCCTACAATTTGGGGCAAAAGTGGGTGTGAAGAAAAAAGAAAAGATGACAAAAGTAACAAGAAAAAATGTTCAAACCACTCTCCAATTGCTTTGCTTTGAATCCCTGGGCCCCGAGTGACGGCTCGGACCGAGTGTGCGGGGTGCGGACTTGGCAGCTGCCTGCCTTGATCACCTCCAGGTTGCTTTTAGACTCCATGACTTGCCAGGCATGAGGTAGATTGAATCGAAAGAAGTTGTCGTACCTCAAGTGCCAGGATCATCTGGCAAAAGCTGTGAGGTGCGTGAAAATGGTGGAGAAAAAGCACCAAGAGAAATAGGAACTCCTTACAAACAGGTCAGGTGGTTTTGGAGGTTTCATGTTGGGCTGTCGCCGGGCAACTACCCTCAAATGAAGCTTTCCCTCATGGGGGAAGCCTATAGATCCGATAGTGCAAGCAAATGGGCTGACAGTATGGTCCCAAATGGTCGCTAAAACCACCCCATGTGAAATCCTCACCCGCAGCGAGCCAACCGGCGACCCAAGTCGCCATCTGCGTTCGAAGTTCTTCCGAATGGCCAACACCAAGGGGGACACGGTGGCGGAGTCCCCATCCTGACCGCCGACATCCCCGAAACGGGCGCCACAGCGGCCTTCGAAACACCACGGTGGCCAAAGCATCCTCTGCACACCAGTGGTCTCGAATGTCTACACATATATTGCAGGCACATATATATATATATATATTGCGTACTGAATATACATATATATATGTAATGTATGTATATTCAGTACGCAATATCTCGAGGGCGTGTTTTGTGTTGCATGCATGCGGCATGTTGCATGTTAATGTTCTTCCTGTTGTGGTCATAATATTAAATATTTGATAAATTTTGTATGTCTTTTCTAGAATGGTAGGCGGTAGGTTGGAGGGCCAGGGTCAGGATCTTATGGAGTCCAGAGAGCTTCATCTGCCAAAGTTCTTGCTTGGGAACACAATGAGAAATATAGGCACCAATATAAAGTGAGCCCTAGTAGGGCTTGGACACTTTACATACCGTTCAAGAAAATATCACTCAAATTACAAATTCAGGATCGAAACCCACGGCTACTTGTGATCAGCTGAACATCCCCACTCAACCCGACTGAACATCCACATCGCCCTTGCTTGTTCTGACCAGCTGAAGCCGCCAAGTGTCCACGTGATCCATATTGGGATCCGCAGTCTTCAACATCTCCTTGACCTCCTCGGGCTTCCCACGACCGATGGCCTTGCAAAGCTTCACATGCGTCGGCCACTGATCCACCTGGGCGGAGTGTTTTGTGTCTCGACCGGGCCGACCGACCACAGCAGCTTGATACAAAGTCGCAGCCGTTCGATGGGTCCTGTCTTTTATTTTCCCAATCTAATTATATACTTCCAAATGGGCAGCATAAAGCTGCTGTACTGTCTCATGGGCCAGCTCTTGCTAAGAAGTATAAGACGTCCATAGTGAGCAGCAAACCAAATTACGTGTGTAGACAAAACCCTTTGACATGATTATTTGCTTTTGGAGTGGTGCATATCGTGGTCCAAATGGTCCTTCAAGAACCCTACTCAAATAGCATACCTGCACATAGACTTGAACACCAAATGACCAAATGCATCATTGTTTCAATGGCCAACCCAGAACCTCAGATTAAAGGCTTACAGTGCTTTCTGCACAGGAATGGCATAGGAGTTGTCGTATTTGCTTGGGTTCTTGTGGCACTGGGCTGCGTAAAGATCACAACACATAAACGGAGACCTAGGATCTCGGCCCATGTATCAAAGCTAGTAATGTTTGGAAGTAGGTTTATGGAGTGACTGGCAAGACATTTAGGTTGTCCACAATTTAGAATAAACACCTACCCGGTCCTACCCAAGTCGGCAAACTCTGGTGTGACTAATCCCCCACAGGGTCAGGTGACCACCTCCCAAACCACTTGGTGTGTAGTGCGCACAAACCGCAAAACCAGGCGGTTTGGGGGTCTCATGGGGTCTGCGTTGATTCTAAAAGGTCTCAACTATAGTCCGCACAACCGAGTCCAGCACCTTCGCCTTGCATTCCTTGTAGAGCGACCTCGGCGCAAGAAAGAAACACTGGTGCAAAAAGGAAATTATCACGTGGGTCGGGTCGGGTAAGGTACCGGAATTGTCAACACACTCCCACAACCCGTTGGTTTCAATCCCGAATATACAGATCTGAAAAGAACTTGATCAAGAAGGCAGTCTGGATTTCTGTTGCTCCAAGAATTGCGTGACCATCCCTGCACTTGACTTGCACCCTTCCTGGTCCTGTAATTACGTTCATTGAGCCTTCTTTGGAATGGCTGATTGATGCTGATTGCATTGCATCTTCAATCTGAATCTTCATCCATATCCGACCCATGCCGTATGGCTTGGAAGGCATGTTCGCCAAAGAAATTCCATTGCAGCACCTGAAAGTAAGTCAGATTCAAATACTGTAAGGGCGAGCTGAAGAATAAACACAAAAGGTCATTCACGTCACGACCTTCACCTAATTAGGTTACGACCTTCACCTTCACCTATACATGCCCTCGTTCCCAAAATGTAAGTGGACCACAAGCTTGCTTCCAACAGGTGCAAGTTGTGAGTCGTGAGCATGTCCGCTTTAGACGGCTCGAAGCTTTCAGAATTCCCCGTCATTCCCCTCTTCCTGGTTGGGAAAGACCAGCCCAAGTTCAAACCGCCGAGGTACGCAATCTTCTCTGCCTCCTCCTTGTGCAAAAGGCCTCAGGGCAGGCAAACCGCTACCCAAAACTGGCTCAGCCAGTGGTCATCTTCTACTAGCAAAACTTCACTGGCTGCTTTGCAGTGCATTGTCGTCAAGCTTTTCAGGGGCTCCCCCCTCGAAGAACAACAAGTAACTGAATCCAAATATATGGCCCAGAAATAAGAGCTGCAAGACGAGTTTCCTCAAAACAAGTGATGATCCGGCAGGGTCCAGGTTTCCCAAACAGTAACAGGACATATGACATATGCATATGCAATGGAATTACAATGAAATACATAAGTTCCACTGGGTCTGCCCAAAAAATAGATCGTCATGGACCATCAATAAATCAACACAATCAACTTATGAAATCACATTCCCATAAATTCCCCAAAGTGCTGTTACTAAAACGGAGATGACGACATGAAGAGTTCGACCCCAACCTCTTTTTCCCTTTGCAGGTCGGTGCTTTTGGGGGTCGGTCCCCCCACATCCGTCGGTGACCGAGCTCGGTGACCGCCCAAGTGCCGGTGATGTCGGCCCCCAAGGAGAGCACATAGAACAAGCCAGGAATGCTCAGATTGTCAAACTGCCTTGGATCACTGCTTCCAAGGAGGGGTTGTATTGACATTGTCGAATCGAAATGGCTGGGCATGCTGAGCATGCTGGAGCACCGAAAAATCCAGGTGGCGATTGAAGAGCGCAACATCTGCCCTCATCATCCTTCTTTTTCAACTCCTCGATGGCAGCAGCGCGACCTCGAAAAGGCCAGCGAGCAAGAATTTAGGAACATAAAGCCAATGCATGGCACGGAATCATGCGAAGAGGATGTCAAAGCATGGATATTGATATCATGTGGTCCATTGATTCCGTAAAGATCCTAAGATCTTTGGAGACTGTTTTTTCAAAACAGCTGGTCTTTTCCTGACCTCGAGGGAGTAGCTCCTCCTCCATGAACTTGAGCTTCCAGCTCTCCTGACCAATCCAGAAAGATGGAATCCGCGGCCGGAGGTTGAGTCTGAAGAACCTAAATCTCATTAAAGCAGATTATGTTTTTTTTTCTCTCTCTCTCTCTCCATATCGCCCTCCTCATGCGAAAGAATATCGTTATGTACCTGCGAATTTGTCGGGTCTCGTTGGTGAAGGTAGTTCTATTGAATTATGCATTGTTAGTGACGTCAAACACTCCAAAGGGTCACCTCCCCCGCTGGGACTCAAATATTGACAAGTTCTGATGCTCCTTCTCTGCTGTCATGCAGCAATGGTAGGAAAAAGGACAAACCGACAAACCTATTTTCTGGCAATTTCTTCGTGAACACCTGATCTTACCCAAAAGATTCCAAAAGAGATTCCCAAGCTATGACATGTGTCAAATGTGGTTAGCAAACCAGCCAAAATAAAGCCAATCCATCCAAATCCTCAGGTTGTCGCAGCTTTTGCATCGATTCTCACACACTCTCTGATTGCAGTGAAGTCTCTCTTTCGTCGAACTGGAAAAAAGATGGAGGGGCGCATGTGAGCAGCCAGTTGGCATCCTGGCCATCAGGACTTTTCTGAGGACGTCCTCATGTGCTACCATGTTCTCACCAAAGTCCAAGGGCCATCGCCCCCTTCGGCACCATCCTGTTCGTCCCATTCTCGCCTTTATGACTTCGATCTCTGCAGGAGGGATGAGGCCCATGACCTCCCGCACCAGTTCTTGGGTTCCCTGGGCTGCGGAAAGCACATGCAGGAACACCAACATGTCAGGAGCCGATTCCAAAAATCTGACTGCTTCCGAAAATCCTGGGATACTTGGGGCATGGAAGGCCCTTGGGACTTCCCTAACTTCGCATTTAAATAGACACTATATACAGCTTCTCCAAAACCTCCAGGTCTGAGAGGTAGATCCTCAGTTTAGACTAAAGTTTAGACCCACGGCGTTTAGATTGTCAAAGCAGCCCGGTCGAAGGCCACTTTGAAGGCCGCCTCCCCGTCTGCGACCGGAATCGTCTTCCTGGGCGACGGGAATCGTCCATCGCCACGGTCGGAACTTGTGACGTGACAAGTCACACGAGATGACCCAACAGGCTATTAGGAACTTGAGGCCAGAGGGGGTGAACGAAAGCTAGCCGGGCTTCCGGTGGTCTGCTGCTGGTGCTGCTGCTGCTGGTGCTGCTGCTGCCGCTGCTGCGCTGGGCGCTGCTGCGCTGGGTGCTCTGCAGGCGCCGGGTCGTCTGCTGCTGCTGCTGCTGCTGGCGCTGGGTGGTCTGCTGCGGCTGCTGCTGCCGCGGCGTTGGGTATGCTGCTGCTGCTGCTGCCGCTGCTGCGCTGGGCGCTGCAGATGCTTGGTGTGCTGCAGCTGCTTGGTGTGCTGCAGCTGCTTGGTGGTCCCGCTCACCGCGCGCAGGGGGGAGTCGAACCGCGGGGGGGGGGGGGTCCATAAGATTGATTTAATCAATTGTTTAAGGTTTCTGAGGTGCGTCCACCCCGTCACTTAACTTGCTAAAGCAAGAGCAACTCCAGCTAGCTAAGGCTAGCTTTCGTGACAAGGGCATAGCTGCTAGTAACAAGGGCATTACTACCAGTAGCTAATCCGCAGCAAAGCGATGCAAAGTGCGTCAAGAATTGACATGAACCGACTGTCTGGTCCAATGACCTACCCTTGGCACCTTGGGATCGAACTTTGCATCACTGATTCACTTCAGGCATGATCAAAAATATCACCTCAAAAAAGAAATCCAAGTCCAGTCAAACCAAGCTGCATCAAGAGCTCAAGGCCTTTCTTGTAATAACAGGCCTTAAAACAACTCAAAGTGGACATCGGCGTCCCCAACAAATCTGCTTCGGGATCGTCCGCAAGCTGATTCTGTGCCCAGGAGATCACTCTCTGCCTGATGGGTTTGAAGGAGGAATGCTCTGACACGCGTCATGGGATGCCACACTCTTGGCATGGGATCCTGGGCGTTGGGATCTATAGATAAAAGTTCTGTCAATTTGGGAACAGGGTTTTCCACCTAACAGTTTACTGTTGGGGTTCTATCTTAGGCAAACACATGGCCTATGCCTCAACTAGGAACTAGGGGACCACGTGATTATACCCTGGAATATTTTGCCCAAACTCCTTTGACATAGAGTTTTGATAACTATTCCAGACGTGGAATCATTGTTGAAACCATTTAAGTCACTGGATGCAAACAAAAATTTACGACACAGGTGGGTTTTTTTAGCAAACTGTGTGACTGTGATGATAGTGTTTTTGCTTCAGTCTTGTTAAAGCATCTACAGGATCATGACCTGACATAGGTTTAGATACATTTCAAGTTTCCACATACCAAAGGGTCACTGTTAGTTTCTAATCTACTTGTGAGAAAGGTTGTAACATTTTTCGGTGTCTACATGACCTTGACCTGACAAAGGCCTAGATTAAATGAAGTTACCCTGTCACTGTACAGGTGGTTTATATATCGATAAATATATATATATATGATTTGGAGCAGGGTGTAAATCACAGATTTTTGGATTGTGTTTTTTCACTATCTACATGTCCTTTGATCACTCCAAGTTCCTAGGCAAACTTTGGCTTGCTGCACCCTACCCAGGGGCCTGACAGGAAGGACAGAAATTATTCCAATAGGGGGCTGACATGTTGACATTTCATCTACTACAGGAAACATTCTGCCCAGGCACCACCCCCAGGAATCCAGGGCCAGCACAGCCAGCAGCCAGGAGAGAAGCTACAGTGGGGGTTGACATCTCACATACTACAGGAAGCATTCTGCCTAGGCACCATCCCCAGGAAGCTTGGTGGGATAAACAAATAGATAATAGAGCCATCTACAAACAAAGCACCCCAGGGGTTGGAGGATTGGAACACCCATCTTCCCGTTGACCCTTCATTGAAGATGGGACTGTTCTCCAATTCTTCTGTTGTTTTTGAATTCTATCCAAGGTTCATTTTCTCTACTCACAAACCAAACTGAAATTGAACAAGCAACGTGATCTGCTATGAAACTTGTTCCGCAAGAAAGGTCTACCCCCCTCCCCCCTTTAAATGATTCTGCGGAAATTATTCTGCAGAAAATGTTTCAGGAATCCACGGGGACCGGTGGAATAATTTTAGTCCCGGATTGAAAAATAGAACCGCGCCAGCTCGTACACAATGCTCCACCTCACACTTTGGACTACGTTCTCCACGAGGAAAATCGCCTGTATATAAACATACATCAGCAAAATGGACGTATTCCACCTACACTTAGAAGGAGGGGTCGCCACGAGATATTTTTGGCCCGGCTTGGCGTGATCGGGGTAAGTTGCCCCTCGTGGGCCCATGAATGGGGAACGTTTGGGGAAATACCGGACTGAAAGATAGAATTTATGACGTGGTTCTAACTTGTGTGACCTTGTTTTAATGAAGTCCAGCAATTTGCTTTAGGAACTCTTGGTGTAATTTGGGGTTGGAACACTGACAGATTCCTGTCACAATGTCTTACGTAGAACTACTATTACTAGGGAAGGGCTCAAGTCGGAATTGCAGGCCCCAGGCGCAAGGTGTTGGCAGGCACTTTCATGCCAGCATTTTGCAGTCATTAATTGCAGGAGTCTTCGCAATACATATCCCTATACGCGTTTCAATACTGGCATACGTTGTCCCCTGCTTTGACAAATAACATCGCATGACATCAACTTGACATAACAATCATAATTCATAGTGATGCAAAGAGCCAGCACTGAACGCACTAAACACTAAACGCTGTTTGAAAGCGACATATCGCAAGGTAATCTAAAGCACGGATCGGCCAGGTGGCTGAGCAGTTTCAAAGTCCGTCTTGCCCTGGCAGAAGCTCTTCAACTCCGACTCTGGAAACATCCAGGCGGGATCATCCTCATAGTCTCCGCATCCAGCCTGGGATCGAGATAAGAAAGAGCACAAACAGCCCATGATAGCACGAGATGAGAGAAGGGGCCCCGCTTCCAGAGTCTACAAATGCATTGCGCACCAGACCGACGCCCAACCCCCGAGGCACTCCAGGTGGCTTAGCCATTGAAGTGCTATCAACCCTCCTTGCAAAGAGACTACGTTCCAGAAGCTGAAGCTTTATTGAATTTTGCTGCAACATGGTGCAACTAGTACACAAATACATCCGGTCAATCTTCAGCTTCTAAAAGCTTGATACACGGGTCATGTTCAAAAGAACTTGCAGGAGGAAATGGTTATATACTTGGGTACTGTGGGTTTCGGGTCTATGGAGATGTATTGGATTTCCCGTGCCCCTGGGCATGGCAGGCGCCTGTGCTTTGTTTTTGGTCACCACCTGGGGTTTTGCGCTGTGGAGCATGCAGAACCGAAGAGAACATGATATTGATAGTTGGTCTCCAGTGGTCTGGAATAACAAACTTGAGAGGAGGGAGACACGAAAGGTAGGACAGCGGGAAGAGAAGAGAACGCGAGAGGCAGGAACAAAAATGCAATGTTCGACATGGTGATTTATCCCCTCGGAGGCGACCTTTAGGCGACCTTTCGTAAATATATGTTCATATGCCATATGCACTCTAAATGTTCAAACATATGCTCTCGAAATGTTCAAAAAGGTTCTTAGGAAAACAAACTTGCCCCATGGCTCAGATCATCGGTGAGCATTGAATCGGAACATCATAGGATTTGAACTATCCTGAAACCATAAGAGGCTCACGAAGACGCTCCCCAGGAGAGAATTGACGTGCTTCACAAAACAAACTCTAGGTATGTATCCCCTCGGGGAACACCTTTCGTGATTAGAATTTCATATTCACTCTTTCTAAATGTTCAAGAGGGTTTCAACTATCCTGAAATCATGAGAGGCTCACGACGAAGACGTTCTCCAGGAGAGAATTGATTTTAGAGGGGGGGAGGGGGGGGGGGTCTGTATTGAAAAATCAATTCCAAGGGGGCGGGGGGGGGGGGGGCTGGATTGAGCGATAAATTATTAGACCCGGACGTCCCAACACTTGCTTCGCAAGACAAACTCAAGGTATCCCCTAAAGGGCTACCTTTCGTGATAAATGATCCCAGACCAAAAAACTCAATCCAATTCCAACCCATTCCACGTCCTAGTAGCAGCCTCATCCTCCTCACAATTCTCCTCAGCTTCTCCCAGTTCTTTCGTTGGAGGAGTGAACTTCTCCGACACTGGCAGCTGCACCAGTTCACTGTCGCCACCGTCGCCTCCGCCCGTGGGCGCCTTTGCCAACGGCGGTATTGCGCTGGCGCCCGTGCCCATGGTGGAACTGTGTTGATCGCTGGGCAACTGAAGCCACGACCACCAGGCTGGCGAGAAAAGAACATACACACCAAACAGCTCTGAAAACGGCCCCGAAAACCCACGCGGATCCACGCGGGGTCTGGTTGGCAAATGTTGGCCACCGCAAGTGCACCAGGTCCCGGAAAATAGACACCATTCTCAGTGACATGTTCCACTCCAGCTAAATGCTAATGTATGCTAAACTAGCACTAGAAACCTGGACCCGGACCCTTGTGGATCAAATTCGACCAATCCCCAGCTAAAGATGATCCCTGCGATCCAAACACGCGCAGGAACAGCGGTGATGGGAAGTTCAGGCCTTTCCGCAGCGAACAGGTGCGGACAGCCCCCAGGGCTCGGACCATTCTATTCAGCAACCAGCATCTGAGATGCCAACTGATTGCCATGAGCGCAGGTGGGCGCCTCAGGCCGGTTGTCTGGACATCGGCAAGCAGGGCACCGGGGGAAGGGAAAAGGATAAGAAGATCTTCTCATATCTTCTCATGCCATTTCACAAGGCCGAGAAGTTCAGGCAAAACAGTAAGATACAGCAAGTAACTATCATAATATACAAAAATATCCTGAGCATCCAGTGAGTATCCACCCCCACTCCACGCCCAGCAACATTGCACATTCCACGTGTCGCATGAAGACATGTGACAAGACCATTCTTCAGTTTCCATACGCAGCAACCCCTCCAAAGAATACTCACCCCTTCCCGATGCCAAGCCCTTGTTCCTTGCAACAGCGGAGAGAAGGCAGCGAGAGTCTCAGTCCAAGCGAGGGCCCCTAGTTTTTCGAAGACCTCTTCTTACAGATCCGGCTGCTTTGAATCTGGCTCCCGCTGGCCCCTGCTGCACATGGAGTACTACACACAATCCAGTATGCGTGTCGTTGGCGTTTCTCTTTTCCAAGGTCACCTTTGTCTGAGAGTCTGCATGTGTCTGTCGAAAGTTGCGCAATCATGCGCAATCAATAAGAACAATAATATATAATCCTCTATACCGCGGAAGGTCAACATGAAACATCAAAGCATATCAAGGCAAATGATTCGAGGCAGCATGAGGAAACTATAAGTCTTCTTTTGCAGCCAATGCGGGAGCGTTCGGAAGAACTCTATATTGCCTGGTCTTTGCAGGTCGGGGAGTCGGGCAACTCTTGCAAAATTCGGGCCGAACATGGCCGAACATGGGCCGAACATGGCCGAAAACCAATGGGCTCGGAAAATGAACATGGAGGACATCCAATTCTCAAGCAGCAATTCAGCGGGCCTGAAGTCTGCCCTTCCTGGGGAGACAAGAGCCACGTCATGGTCTACTGGTCTACTGGTCCTGCACCCGAAATCCGACAGCTGAATCTGAGGTGGACTGTTGACTCAGGGGGACATTGGCACCGCCCCAGACCTGGCGGTCCAAGATTAGGTACCCTTTCCAGCCGCCAACGGGCCAAGAACCTTGGGTGCCTGGGCCTTGTTCAGCCAGATTGGAACAAAATGATCTCTCTCCCTCTCTCTTTCACAAAGATCTGATCTGTCGGCAACTCCTTTGCTGGATGTGCCGCACGATCAGTGTCGTTCCTGTCCCTGCTCGCTTCTTCCGGGTTTTTTGCCCGCAATGTTCCGCACAGGGATTTCAAGGTTCCGCGAACGTCGGATTTGGTCGGAGTGTCTTCCCAATCTTCATCAATCTTCCAAGCTGGCAATGGCTCTTTGGACCAAATGACACGATTGCCCTCTCTTCCCCGCAAAAGTCATGTGGACCAAAATGCCTCGTGCTGCCTCGGCAGCCCAGCCCCGTGGCTCTCCGGCGTCCCCCATGAACATCAAGCCGCTTTCCAGGAATTTCCGCTCGTGTACAATGCAACGTCAACCAATTCCAGAACCAAGGCGACATGGAAACCCATAAAGAACCATGGACCCGGGAACTTGGATGGAACATTGATGGATAGGATATGCAAAGTACATGCACAGTGCATTCATAGTGCATTATAGTGCATCTACCCAATCGGTTTTATCCTCTAAAAAGATGCTCCCAAGTGCTCCACCCGTGGCCGAGTGTCGAGGTCAACGTGGCCTCCACCCGTTCCATCACCTCGTCTCCCGACTCCGGCGACTCATGGAGTCGTCGGACGGTCCGATGAGACAAAGGTTATGGTTGATGGTGTTCCACTCCAACTAGGAGCTGTGATCGATCAACAGTCTACATGGGAGGTGAAGAAAGCGAGTTGACCACTCAAACATACCGAAGCTTTCATCCTCCTGGGCATCCTCCCTCCTGTGTCCAAACCACTGCTCAATTCAGCACTTTGGGATGCCCCAATTTGAACCAAATGTTTCTCATACCACTCCCACTCCCACAATGAGAAGCGGTGTGTATGGGAAGCGGTGCGCTATGGATTCCCTTTTGTCATCTTTTGATATCTTTTGTCCATGGTCGTTTCAATAGTCGCGGGGCCCAACACACAACGACGGAAGGGCAGCCCCAAGGGAGACAGGTCAAAACCTATGACTAATATGTGTTCCTCTGCTTCTCAGTGTTTAAGATGTTGTTTCATTTTCATTTCCCATTTTGGTTGGATAGAAAGTGCACAGGGCCAAACCCTCCAAGCAGCAAACAAGTGTTAACTTACAATATTAAAGGCCGCCATTGAATTTAAGCTTTGATGCATGTACTTAAGGTCTTGCTCAGGCGGAGAAACAATATAATGACATTAGTAGTGAATCAATTGAGAAGTGTCTCGGGGTAAAGGTTATGTCAAACACATCAGGTTGAAACATTAGATATGGTCATGCAGCATGCAGCCGCCATAGACACATTTTCCTTCCTTGGACTGTGCCTGATCTGGTCTCTCACATAAATTTGACGGCGACCCTTTGCTCGCCAAATCAGTGCGGATTTGTTTCATCTGGCACAGTTCAAAAGTGTTAGCAAACACAGAACACAAACAAACAATGTGTGAATGGTATTGTCACATTGTCAAGATTAAACAACTATATTACAATGGCTAGCCAATTTGTTGTGTGCCACCTCCTAGCCCCTGGCAGCACCAAAAATGAAAATATGCTGAAATCTCGCCTGGATTATTGAATCCTAGCGTTTGGAACAGCGGTGAGAGTTCTTGGCACGGTTGGCACTGACACTCTGATTTGCGCCACGGGCACTAGAGGATTTCTGAAACAAATCAGTCAAGGAAACACAGCCGTTGGCTGCTCTACCCTTAGCCTTTGCTTTCGCTTTGGTAGTAGCACTTGCCTTGGCCTTGGCAACAGGTTTTGCACCTGCTTTGGCCTTGGATTTGGGAACGGTTTTGGCCTTCGCTTTTGCGATAACCTTCCGCTGCTTCTCGGTCAGGACACGCTGCTGCACAGGTGGCAAAGCGGATCGCAAATCAGCTTCAAATTTCTCCTTGATGCTGATCATAGGGTCCTGAACCTCATTGGTGATGTCCTTCTTATCAAGGAGAGCACGGGAGGTCATAGCAGAGGCCATTTCGTCCAAATCACCTGCAATCTCGGCATCATCAATGACCTGCAACTGCAGGACATAGCTCAAAGGTACAAAACAAAATCAGAAACAACAACAACAACAGCAAACACTCTTACCTGACCCCCTAGCCCCACCCCAACCATCCTGCTCCAACAATTGCTCCAAACTTTCTAGAGCTTCTTCTTCCACATCCACATCCCGGTACTTACGCTTCTTCTTGTCTTCTGGATTTTCTGTCTTCTCTGCTTTTTCTGCGTCATGCCTGGCATCTTTGTTTTTTTGTCTTTTTTGTCTTTCTTTTCTTTTTTCTCTTTCTTGTCTTTTTTGTCTTTTTTTTGGTGTTTTTCTGTTTGATCTGTGTCATTCTTGTTTGTCTTGCCATCTGCATGCGTTTTGGCCACCACCAAGGCCACTGGTGCCGAGCTTGCTGCCAGTGTTGGTGCTGTTGGTGTTGAAACTGGACAACCCACATCCAGCTTCTGGGCAGCATCACTGGCAGGTTTGCTCAATTCGGTTGGCTTGGTGGCTGTCAATGCCTGTGGAATCTCTTCTACTTTCGGTTTGTGGTTTGCTCGTGGCAATTCACAATGCTGAAAAGCAGTCTGACAAGGAATGGGTACAAGTGCTAGCGCTTGACCAGGCTCTGCCAGTGCAGTTGCTGGTTGTTCAGACTGGCCTGGCAACCTGGTCTGGTGATGCGCTTCTGGCTCAGGTAGTGTGCTTGTTGGTGGTGCAGACTGGTCTGGCAACCCAGTCTGGTGATGTTCTTCTGGCTTGGATACTGCGCTGGCTGATAGCTCAGACTGGCCTGGCAACCCAGTCTGGTGATGTTCTTCTGGCTTGGGTAATGCAGTTGCTGGTGGCTCAGACTGGCCTGGCAACCCGGTATGTTGATCTTTTGCTGCTGGCTCCAGAGAAGCACTTGCTGGTGGCTCAGACAGAGCTGGCGGCTTGATGGAAGCAGTGTCAGGCATGGATGTGCTTGGGAATTCTGCTTTTGGCTGATGCTGCCAAACCGGTACATTCTGCTGAATCTGGCTGGAGCGTATGTGTAAGGTCATTCCTCGTTCAGCCAACCACTTCACAAAGAACTCCAAGTCTGCTTCTGGATCTGAAGAGTTTGCATCTCCCCACTCCCAATCGTCATCAAGATCTGCTCCCAATGTAGGATCAGTCTTAAGCAAACGAATGTGCTCTGCAAGCAGTGGATGCTCAAGGGCAAGCTTCATGTCTCTCTCAAACTTCTCATCGCATGGTAGCTCATCATAGTCCATTGCTTTGTCTGCATTCTGTTTTGCGCTGGCTTGTGTGCTTTTGCATTCTATGGTTTCTCCAATGCTTGTGGTGTGTTTGTCATGTGTGCTTCCACTCATCTCTCCCTGCCCCGGTCCATCTCCATCAGCAGGCATGTAGCGATTCCTGACTGATTCCCAATCAGGCTCCCGCGACTTGATGAAGTCATTGAGGAAACCAGTCATGCCATTCCTGAGGCACAGCATGAGCTGATCAAAATCCAAAGCAACACCCAAAGTTTTCAGAATGTTTCTGACTAGTATCTCTGGAAATTGGTTGAGCAACATCTCCATGGACCCCTCATCATCTGAGTGAACAATGTGCAAAGGTACCCGCAAACCCATGCAGTTATCGTTCACAAACTTCTCCACCACAACAGCTCCACATGGTACCACCAATGCATCACCGGCCAGCACACACCCAGCCGCAAACGAACCAAGCACCTTCTGCCGGTCTGAATCAGCCGTCAAATTTTGTAGGCCGTTCAAAGACTCCTGGCTAACAGACCAACATGGAAGTGGATAGGACAAGTGATGAGACCATGCTAGCTGCATCAAAACAAAACCCAAAAAAAAAAGTTCAGGGAACACAGGTTGATAAAAATAAAAACAATTTCTCCTTGAAGTCAGCACCAAACCCATGCTTCACATCCTCCAATTTGGCATAGGCAAGCAGGCGGCTTCTACTCAATTGATATTGGATCTGGCCTAAGCCTCCAAAGCCCGTTCCGCAGGTAACTCCGCCCCGGCGGTAAGCAAAGAATACCGCATTGATCAGCTTTGTCTTCAACTCTTGGGTCTGGTGCTCACCAAAGCCTTTGGCTCCACAATAGGATGAAAGAGAACCTTCATCCACCATCGCAGATTGCAAGTAAGGCAAATCAGCATCTGGATCAGCAATGCCAGAATCGTGAACTGCCTGACCAACTATGATTTACACAATGTAATGTACTGTAATACAAACTCAAACACAAAACCTAGCCCCAAAGCTATTGTGTCCACCACTTGGACTGTTTCTGTCAACGTTGTATAACGGACAAAAAACAACAATTACACACAATAATCTCACAGGCCTTCTTTTTCTCATCAAGGTAGTCATTCAACAAAGGATCCAGTGACATCTCTTCCAGAAAAGGAAAATTGCTCAGGTCCTTGGTGGCAGACGTTCTCTTCGCATCTGCTTCAAAAGCATCAGCAACATCAGTTCTGAAGTCACTGAGCTGCCCTGAAAAAGCTTGGGTCATGCGCTGCTTCTGGCTCTCCTCCAAACCATGTTCCTCGGTTGAAGCATGTATTGTATAGCGTTGTTTCTTTTTGTGTATCAGTGTTACTATCAGTCATATTGAAATGAAACACATGCATTTGTTTGCTGAACACTGCGCCTGAATTCTAGCAATAACAATAACAACATCTTGTAAAATAATATTGAAATCAAACTTAGCGTCTGCAAGCACCTTGGACACCAAAGATCGCTTTAATCGAATGATGACCACACTGGATTTCGCGATAAATGGAAGAGCTTGCGCCTTGGAGATGCATTGCAATTCAACTGAAATTAAATCAATATGTTGGTTGGTGGTTGCAAGCAGCCTTCAGAATTCATGGGTAAGGAAAAAAAACAAACAAAGAAACATCCATGCTCTGCTAAGATGCAATGGTATCCACAACAGGTATTTGATGCTTTGGGAATCTGCTCTGTAGGACTGCTGGATCAGAGTCAGCCAAATCCTGCAACAATTTGCTTGCGACTCGTCTCCTTCTGGGGTCATTGGGCACCGGCTGATTGTCACCTTGGTCACCTTGATTAGCATTCTCTGCGTTGGCTGCTGCAGCCGCCTCTGCGTCTCTCTTTTTCTTCTCTCTGGCTGCTTTGCTCTGTGCTTTCTTCTCATCTCGCTTTTTCTGTGCTTCTTCTGCTTTTTTCTCTTGCTCCAAAGCCTTTGCAAGAGCCTTTGCTTTGGCCCTATATTCTGTGCAGGATGTAAGAACAGACTTCACCAAAGCATGCATCAAAGACAATGACTTCACCCATTGGTCAAAGAATGCGTCGACTTCATCTGCTGAATGATGCATGCCTCCAAACTCCCTCTCGAAAGAAAGTGTATCAAGTAGTTTGATGTCCTCTCGTGTCAAGCCTTCCGGCAAAGATGAAAAGTATGGATCCTCCTGCATAAGCTTGTAAAGTTCATCCTCCAATGCTGGGTACTTCTCACGAGATTCTGCCTCCTGACCAAAGAGGTCAACCTGGTCAACATTCGGCCAAATTTCCCAAACCACACCCAAACCCTATGATAGAAACACACCATTTGATGT